CTCTGGTGTGGGCTGGTCCATGAGGTCACGAAGAGTCGGAGACGACTGAAGGAATGAACAACAACAACAACTAGGCATAACTGCAACAATATAAGGGGAGATGACATGCCCACATATATTACTATGTCTCCTTGGGCTAAAGGCATTAGTGGGCTGTGTTTTGCTCCACTGTAGTAGCACTTTATTTAGTACCCGAAACTAAAAATACGCAGACCTTGTTTTCTTTTTTAAAGTATTGTGTGCTTTCAAATAGATTTTCCCCAGAAGACAGAGTTCATGCAGAAAAGGTCATTTGCCAGGGAGTTTAGATTACAAATGGGACATTGAAAGAGGGCAACAATTTGAGATGATGATGAGAGTAATGGGTAAAATCTAGTATACTCTTGGCAGCAAAAAAAATAAAAAATAAAATCCCCTCTCTTCCCCCAGACCTTTGTTTTTCCATTAAACTGGCTGCATGGATTTCCTGATCTGTCAGAGTTAGTTTTTTGGGTAACGACGAGTATTTCAACATTATTTCCTGCTGTTCTATCATAAAAATGGCACAAATACAAATATACTGTACTGTCTGGAGGTCCATCATACAGACAAGTTTAAAAATTTTATATAGCCATATTTGCAACTTCTTTTAAAAAGAGCATTTCAATATTACAGCCCATACAATAAGAATTTGATCTTGAAACCCATCTTGTCCAACCAGCTGCCATGCAGGAAAAACACCATCAAAGCATCCCCAAGAGATGGCCATCCAGCATCTGTTGGAAAGCCTCCAAAAGAGCTTCCACCACACTCCTAGGTTGAGAGTTCCACTGTTGAAAAGCTCTCATGGTCAAGAAATTCTGCCTAATGTCCAGGTGGAATCTCTTTCTCTGTAATTTGAACCCATTACTCCAAGTTCTAGTTTCCATTGCAGCAGGAAGATAAGCCCACTCCCTCTTCTTTTCACGCCCTTTCAAATATTTAAACATGGCGATCGTGTCTCCTCTTAACCTTCTCTTCTGCAGGCTAAACATGTCCAGCTCTTTAAGCTGCTCCTCACAGAGATTCATAGTCTCCAGACCTTTGATCATTTTAATCGCCCTCCATTGGACACGTTCCTGCTTGTCAATATCTCTCTGAAATTGTGCCCAGAATGGGATTTGTCTTTATAAAGCATTTTTGAAGATTTCAAATACATTAGAATTCTGCTAGGTGGCCACGGTGTCTTAGATCTTTTATTTTAAGGAACAGACATTTTTGAAAGGATTACTGCCAAACACTTAGTGTTGACTTTATATTGCTAAGGGGGGGGGGGGGGGAATGAGAACAGAACAAATTTGATAGGAGCACCACCTGCTGTTCTGAGAGACACAGAACAAGCTCTTCTAAATTACACAAAAGAGACCTCAGAGGAAAATCGTGCCACAGATGTTTGGAGACAGATGCTGACCTCCTGTGCTTTTCTTTGAGGTCCCGCTGATCACTATGGAGTCATCTGGACCACATACTTAAAAAAACCTTTATGACAGAATTAATTCCCATGGCAAGTGGAAAATCTCTTAATGTTGAAATTTATATAAGCAAAATTTAATTCTCTGTTTATACGTTTTCATAAAAAAAAACACATCTATGCTTATGCCCAAACACTAATCAGGATCATATCTTCCCTAGATTACACTAGAATAATTGTACACTAAGGTTACTTTATCATATTACCAAATCAGCATTTATAATAATAAATCAGGACACTCAGAGGAAGTTAAATCCATCCAGAAAGAGGCAGACAACGGCTATACACACAGTATTTCATAGAGGCAGATTAGGATTTGGATGTATATTTTTATCTCTATGATCCTCCTTGCACAATGTGGGAAATTCTAGAAGCCACATACATGGTATATTATCTTCATTTCAGTTTTTGGTTCATTGAAATAGTTATATTCTATCACATATCTCGACTTCTCAGGCTGGAATTTAAAGACAGAAATTCTGACAGTTCTACATGCCCAGTGATCATCAATTATCAAATAAACTCTGCTACCCTGATTACGTTGTGATTATACCCCGATGGTCAGTGATCCTAAGAGGTCATGATTCATTATCCCCAATAGTTGGGTTGCTGTGAGTTTTCCAGGCTGTGCCCTGGGACCAATCCACACTGCCATACAATGCAGTTTGAAACTGCATTATACTGTTAGTATAGACTCGTATAATGTAGCCTCATATAATAGTCAACAAATAGTATGTTATGAGGAACTCTGAGTGTTTTGGACTAGTCGCCATGGCCAAATACAAGGAACTGTGGGAGTTCTTGTCCAGAATGTTGGCTGGGCAAAGACTTGCTCTATATAACCAACTTGGTGCAAAAAAAATATAGTTGGCTATATAGTATAGGCTTAGGCTAGGATCCAGGATCCCACTGGGACCTGTTCCTACTTTCATGCCAGTTATATGGATAACTACACGCCAGTGCACTGCGGTGGCTTGAGTGTTGGACTCTTTCAGCCTCAGAGGAAGATGAAGGCATGCCCATCTGAACAAATCTTGCCAAGAGAATTCTGTGATGGAGTCACCTTAGAAATACCATAAATTAGAAGCAACTTGAAAGTGCAGAATAAATATGCATAACCGTTTGTAAAATGATAGTAACTCAAGAATCCTACTGGGTTGGGGGAGGCGGGGAAGGTGTCCTGTTTCCCATAGTGGCCTCTAGAGAATCCACAAGCGGTATAAGATGCCATCTGCCAGAAACTAACATTGTTTCTGCACAAATATTTAGAGCACAGCTATTCAAACTGTGTGTGGGGATACATTAATGTGTCAGCTACAGTCTGTGTGTCTTGTGAATGTAGCCGCCTTGGGTCTGCCGAGGGAAAGCCAGCATAGATATTCCTGAAATAAATAAAAATTTAAAAATCTTGGAAATGTCTATTATTATCATACAAAGCAACTCTTTTTCATGAGAGATGTTGTGTCCCTGTACATTTTATGTATGTATCCACATTTACGTTATGTGTCCATATCTCTTATAAGGGGTTGGTTGAACTGAATTACTGTGTTGCAAAATGATGCTTGTGTGTAAAGTGTGTCACTAACATGAAATGTTCGGAAAGCAGATTTGGAACATGGCTCCAGGTGCAATTCACTCAATTGTGGATGGTGGACTCCGTGGATATTGGAGATAGCAACCTTTTCAAGCCTCCTCTATTTAATGTTTTGTCTATTTATAATGTGTCGGTTTATTTCCTGAAGTGTATATCTTTGGCTAGCCATTTTCTTAGTTCTATGTACTTCAAGCAGTGGGAGGGTCTGCAAACCATAAGACTGGTTCAGTGACTGTTTAGAATGCAGTTTAAAAGGATGACAGTGGAGGAATGACAGTTGAGGCTTGATACATAGTATAAAACCAAAAAAAGTAATGAAAACATAAGACATTTGTGTCTCCTAATTAAGAACATTATCCATCTTGTTGTCCAGTTGTTCTAAGTTCCTATGTCTTTTACACTGCCTTTTCAAACAGCCAGGTCTTGACTCTTTTCTGGAATGTTAAGAGGGAGGGGGCTGATCTAATGTCCTTAGGAAGGGTATTCCATAGCTGAGAGGCCACCATTGAGAAGGCCCTGTCTCTCATCCCTGCCAAACATATTTGTGACGCAGGCGGGATCGAGAGCAGGATCTCCCCGGACGATCTTAAAAGTCCTAGCAGGTTCATAAGGGGAGATGTGTTTGTACAGGTAAGTTGGGCCAGAACCGTTTACTTCCAATCTTTTACCTATTCCTCCTCTGGACAAGTATAGCTTCAACTAGTAAACAGTGCGATAGAATGGGAATGAGAAAACATCTGTCCTGCCAGATGCTGTTAAATTTATTTATTTATTTACCATATTTATATATCGCCATTCTCAGCCTCGAAGGTGACTCAAGGCGGTTTACAGTCAGCACAATTTGATGCCCCTAATAATATAAAATACAATTAAAACATTTAGCATATAATATAAAAACCATACTAAACCAATAAGCATAAATCCTCAGCATTTCCTTACTAAAATCATTTTCCAGTCACATCGTCCAGTTGTTCCGAGGATCTATATTTGCCTGTTACACTGCTTGCTTGAAAAGCCAGGTTTTAACTTATTTATGAAATGTTAGGAGGGAGGGGGCTGATCTAAAGATGTCAACAGCTCATTCACTGCCACTTATTATTAAAACTAATAGGAATTGCAGTCTAACCATACTCCTTCAGGCAGTAGCCAGAAAAAAATTTCAGGGTTTTTTTTTTTAAAAAAAAATTCGGGGGGCGGGGGGTGGGGGGCGGGTTGGGTTGAAACCACCAAGTCTGGCCTCCTTAATGAGAGCATTCAACACCCCCCCCCCCAACTTGGTTGCTTCACTACATCGGCTATTGCTGCAGTAATGACAGTGGGAAGATTTATGTTTTTGTCAATATTTGCTTGAGATAGTGCTTGCAGTTCTGGAGGGACTCTTAATTTTTTGCGTCTCATAGACTTAGCATGGGGATTTGGTTAACCAGTTAAAATTCATGAGTAAACCAGTTTTTTTTAAACCTGAAATTTTTTTTGGGGGGGGGATGCCTTCAGGAGCCACAAATCCCTCTCTCTCTCTATGGCCCCATTTACAGCCTCAAAAGCGATGCTGTGGGAGGAGATTGGCGGTGCATCTAAAGCAGGCCTGAGCAAACTTGGGCCCTCCTTCCAGATGTTTTGGACTGCCAACTCCCACAATTCCTAAGAGGCAACCAGCTGTTAGGAATTGTGGGAGATGAAGTCGAAAACACGTGGAGGTGGTTCAGGCCTGGCCTACACCGAGCATATAAGGCATTACAGGGCACTGTAGAAGAGGCACCACCTTTCCCCTCGCCCTCTTTCGGGGCCAGAGGGAAGACACGGAAGAGCCGCCTAGCAACCGTCCGACCAATCACAGGGCTCCTACGCAAAGGGTGGGGTGGGAAGCGCGAGGCAGGAAGCAGATCGCGGCGGATGTTGACACTTGGCCACACGCTGGGCCCCGCCCCTTTCCGGTCCCTCGCCATGGAGACGGTGCTGGCGGAGGCGCTGCTCTCGAAGTGCGCGGACTCGGGCGCCTTGCTGGCGGCGGTGTGCGGCCCAGGCGGGGCCTTGTCGGCCGAGCAAGCGGAGGCGCTGCCCTTCCTGCTCGAGCTCCGCGGAGGGGAAGGGCTAGCTCGAGAAGCAGCGCTGGGCCGTTGCCTCCCGGCGCTGCTCGGCGATGGCGGGGAAGCCACGGAGGAGGAGCGCCGGCGGGTGGTGCGTGCCGCAGGCGGGGCCCTCCGGCGCTGCGCCTGCCTCTGCGGGGCCCCGTTGGCGGAGCAGCTGGCCCGGGAGGCCCTAAGGGCGGCGGGGGCGCAGGGAGGGGGCCGCCGGCGCGTGGAGGCCGTCGTGGAGGTCCTGTCCGCCGTGGCCGCTTCCCTGGAGGAGCCGGTGCTGCTGAGGGAGGTTGTGGAGGCCGCTCTGGGGCTTCTGTGGGGGCGAGGGAGCGAGGAGGAGTGGGAAGCCGCGCAGGTGGCCGGGCGGCTCCTGGCGGCCTTGGGGAGGAACGCCGCCGCGCTGGGCCTCGTCTGGGAAGGGCTGATGCAGCCGCCCCCGCAGGCCCCTCAACGGGCGAGGCGGGCCCTGCTGGCCCTGTGTGCCCTCTCCGACGCTGTGCTCCCGAAGGACGGAGCGGGGCCAACCCCGAGCCTGGACGCCCGGCGCTGCAGGGGCTTCTGGGAAGCGGTGCAGGAGGGGCTGACGGCCCGCGATGCCTTGGACAGGAAGAGGGCCCGCTACCTCCTCAAGCGCGCCGTGGACGCCTCCAGCCAAGGCCTCCTCCTCGGGGACTGCCCTGGCACCCAGGAGCCCGAAGGAAGCGGTGGGTGGCCCTGCGGGCTTGCTTGAGGGGGCATCTGCACTGGAGAATTCACGCACCTTAATGCCTTCCTTTCCTTGTCTCCCTTCTCTAAGGAACTTAACATTACTACTTGTGTGCCAGGCACAGTGGGAAGTGGCTACCAATGTGAAATACCTCATGTGAAAGAAAGGAACCATGAAAATGGCCAAAATCTGGCCAACAGTATTAAAAAAACTCAAATTATAAAAGTAAATAAAGAATAACACTCAAACACAGGGGAACTCCAGACAAGAAACAATCAGGGACAGCTAATCACCTCTCAACAAAGGATTCTTTGAGGCAGTAACAACCTACACCTAAAAACTGTCAGGGCATCAAATGCTAATCAAGGTGGCCAATTAAAGCATCCACACCTAGCTTAAACAGACAAGAGTTCTTTCTCTCACTCTGGACCTTCCACAGCTTTATAAACCCAATTTTCCAGTTTCCAACAAACCTTACAATCTCCGAGGATGCTTGCCACAGATGCAGGAGAAACATCAGGAGAGAATGCTTCTAGAACATGGCCATTCAACCTGAGAAACCTACAGCAACCCAGTCATCCCCGCCATAAAAGCCTTCAACAATACATTTCAGTTGTGTTTATGCAAAAGAAAAAAAAAGGCAGGGTGCTGCTTACAGTAGTTTGGCCACGTGTAGTCCCATCAAAGGAATCACAGATATATAAACCTAATTTTCCTAGTTCCAACAGACCTCACAACCTCTGAGGATGCCTGCCATAGATGCAGGCGAAATGGCAGGAGAGAATGCTTCTAGAACAGGGGTCCTCAAACTTTTTAAACGGGGTCAGGTCACAGTCCCTCAAACTGTTGGAGGGGCCAGATTATAATTTAAAAAATAAACAAACATGAATGAATGAATTCCTATGCACACTGTACATATCTTATTTGTAGTGCAAAAACACTTAATACAATACAATAATTAAAATAAAGAACAATTGTAACAAATATAAACTTATTAGTATTTCAATGGGAAATGTGGGCCAGCTTTTAGCTGATGAGATAGGATGGTTGTGTGCTTTCAAGTTGTTTCATACCTAGGTTGACCCTGAGCAAGTGCCAGGTAAATGACCTTGGAGGGCTGTATCTGGCCCTTAGTTTGAGGACCCCTGTTGTAGAACATGGCCATACAGCCTGAAAAACCTACAACAACCCAGCCCTCATTTACATCTCACACAGTTAACCTACAGTCTGTCCTTCTCCCACATTGCCCATGATACAGGTTACATCCACATTATTATTACTGAAATAAGAGTCATCTAAAGCAAACTGAGACTAAAGACAAACCAAACATAATGTAATATAGTTTTACTGTATTATAAAGTCATAGAATCAATTGAGTTGGATGTGACCTCATAGGCCATCCTGTCCAACCCCCTGCCAAGAAGCAGGAAAATCACATTCAAAGCACCCCCAACAGAAGGAAGTACAGACAGTCATCAAATTACAAATATCCAACTTACAAATGACTCTTAGTTAAGAACGAGGGTGAAACAACAGGAAGTGGGAGAAATCTACCCTTCAGAAGGGAAATTTACTCCAGAAAGAGTTATCATGGGAAAAAGGTGTCTTCACCAATGGGTGGAAAAAAGACTACATTTGGGGAGTCTAACCAGGTAGGTGAGGGAATACAGGTAGTCTCTAAGTTATGAGGAAAGAGTTATGGAGTAAAGGTGTCTCTGCTGAAATTTTATCACCAGTCATTATTTACACAGCAGGCCCAATTTTACAAAATCCAATTATCACAGTGACAAAAAGTGTGAAATCTTCTGAGCAGGCACAGACAGCAAAACAAACACCACAGGGGTGTTAAACCTTCCCCATTTATTTATTTATTTATTGCAGTTACTTATACCCCGCCCTTCTCACCCCCTAGGGGGGACTCAGGGCGGCTTACAAACAAAGGCACAAATTCGATGCCTATCAAAAAATACAGCATATACTCCCATGCTATCAAAAGCTAAACCACATGTATGTATGTAGCTGGATATAGACTTAAAATGTACATGTTCCAACTTACAAACAAATTCAGCTTAAGAACAAACCTACAGAACCTATCTTGTTCATAATTTGGGGACTGCCTGTATGTAATTTTAGTTAAATGGCATTCCCTATAGTACACTTTTGTTACTTGCTTGGGAGTTTTAGTTAATTGAGGGTCTGTATTCAGTGGTCAAAATGTATTAGCAAGCAGAACTAAGCTGATCCCTCACCTCTCTTATATACGGCTACACTGTAATACTGCAGGTTGACGCTGCTTGAACTGCCACATCTCAAGGGTATGGAATCCCAAGAGTTATGTAGATTTAGGCAAATCTACACTCATTATATGGACAGTGTAGAGCAGGCATGGGCAAACTTTCTAACTTGGGGGCCACATGGCGGGCTGGAACAGGGTGGGTGGACCGGGAAGGAGGGGGTTCTACCCAAACCCCCTCCCTGCTCTTTCCTCCCATTCTATTTCTCTTTTGGAGGCAGAAAGTGAAGAAAAGATGGGACACATTTGGATCCCAAAAGGGTTAGCCTTCGCCAGGATGAGATATGGTGGATGGGGGAGAAAAAGTGTATAAATTAGACCCTGTATTACCTACTTCTGATATATAATTCTAGAGCTGGATGAGACCCCCAAGGGCCATCCAGTTCAACCCCTTGCCATGCAGGAAGGCACAGTCAAAGCACTCCCAATAGCCTCTGTGGAAAAGCCTGCAGAGGAGACTCAACCACACTCCTAGGCAGCCTAGGCCACTCTCCAGCAGCTCTTACTCTCAGGAAGTTGTTAATCTTTTGTGTATTGTCGAAGGCTTTCATGGCTGGAATCACTAGGTTCTTGTAGTTTTTTTTCGGGCTATAGGGCCATGTTCTAGAGGCATTTCTCCTGACGTTTCGCCTGCATCTATGGCAAGCATCCTCAGAGGTAGTGAGGTCTGTTGGAATAGGAAAATGGGTTTATATATCTGTGGAATGGCTGGGGTGGGGCAAAGAGCTCTCTGCTGAAGCTAGGTGTGAATGTTTCAGCTGACCACCTTCATTAGCATTTGAAGGCCTGGCTGAGCCTGGGAAAATGTTCTGTTGAGAGGTGTTAAGATGTGCCTGGTTGCTTCCTCTCTGCTGTTTTGCTGTAGTAATTTTATAGTTTTTTAATACTGGTAGCCAGATTTTGTTCAGATTTTGTCCGAGGGAAGGATGGAAGCAGGCCCGTAGCCAGGATTTCGATTCGGGGGGGGGGGGGGGCTGAGTCTGAGTGAAAGAGGGGCTACCCTAGCAAACCTTTTGTATCGTTACCCCAATACCCCCATGCATATGGGATATATTGAGTATGGTGATCAGATCATGATATGAATAAACATAACAGTTTAAATAATGCACAGTAAGGCCTTTTCCGGGAACCACCATGAGAATTTCGGGGGGGGGGGAGGGCGGAAGCCCCACCCCCCCCCCCCGCCTACATTCCAGGAAAGAAAGGAGAAAAGAGGGAAAAGGGAAGGAAGGAAGGATGAAAGAGTGGAAGGGAAGAAGGAAGGAAAGAGAGAAGGCAGGAAGGATAGAATAGGATGGTGTGAGAGAAGAAGGCTTAAGAAAAGAGCCCAAGGGGCCACATCCAGTCCCTGGGCCTGGGTTTACCCATACCTGGTGTAGAGCCATATATGAAACTGCATTATATGGTCAGTATAAAATCAAAGTACTATCAGATTGCATTAATTTGATTATGTAGATACACTTAGTTGTGAACTGGAAGCGAAATGTTTATCCAACAGGTTAGGGAATCAGGAATTTGAATTGGCTGAAAAGTGGAACCCAGATTATTTCATTTAGACTACTGAACAATGTAAATGGAGCCTCTCAGTTATCCAGAAATCTCAAGCAATCAGCAAAAGTTTATTGACTACCATTTAACTCTAATCACATACTGCATTCACAATGCTGCTTTTATAATACAGTACAACAGTAAAACTATTACATTAAATTAAGTTTGTTTTGCTTTAATTTGCTTTTAATTACTCTTTTTTCAATAATAATAAAGTAGACATAACCTGCATTATGGGTGATGTGGGAGAAGAAGGTTTCATATTTGTAGCGGTTTCCCACTATGCTTGACACGAAAGCAATATGTCACGTTGCCTGGGGAATGGGAGACGGAAATAAAGTAAGACCTCCATAGCCATAGGGGATAGAAGTTACTTGAAGTTATTTGAAGCTGTGAATATGACTGAACACCATTAAATTAATTGCTTGACTGCTGATCTCAGCATAACATAGTGTTGTGCTGGAGAATCTCAAGATTTTCTCTCAAGGATTTGGCCCTACAGTGACTTTGTTGCAGTGTCCAGGCAGAGCATACTATAGAATTTTGCTGGAGAACGTAGCAAATTTATGGAGAAACAATTTTTCCAATGGGCATACGTAATTAAAATCATGGATATGGGTTCTGTAGTTACAGAGGTTTTACTATAATTGTTTCTGTATTTACAAAACCACGTGGGAGGGACAAGTTCATGCTGTTGATGTTCTTTTGAGGCGAACATTGTTTAGTCCTTCAAATGAGCATATTTATTTATTTATTTAAAACATTTATATTCCATGCTTCTCACCCCGAAAGGAGACTTGGGGCGGAGCACAGCATATATATGGCAAACATTCAATGCCGGGACATGAATTCATTATATGCATACATAAACATTAAAAACATTTGTCTCAATATTAATATACACATTAAAACTGCATGAAGTTCCCATGAGCTCCAGGCAGCATAACCTATGGTAAACAGTATTGGGAGCTGTCAAGGGCTGCACTTAGCCCAACTCTGACCTACATTAATACTTGCTGCCCACTTGCTGCCCACATGACATTAAAATTAGTTAAGTGTGGCTCGTGTTTTCAACATCTCATTCACGTTATGGTTTTGTTACTGTTCTCATGTTAGTGACTTTGTTATACATAGCATTTGTTACATTTTTCTAAGCATACAAAATTGTTTCTAATTTGCTGATCAACAGGACCTTATCTGTTTTGGTGGTGTACTGGAAAAAATGATCAACTTACTCAGTTTTGGGAAGATTACATTTTAATTTTGGAGATTCTGGAAGGAAACCAGGTAAAGATGCAACATTTTACAAATCGTAGCTAAAAGTCACTGCTGTTGACAGAAGTACAGAAAATGAGAAGGCAGAAATCAGCAAGTGAAAATGCTGTTCTATTGCTGAACAGAAATTTTATCTGCTTTAAAATGTTTTGGCAGGCGCATAGTTACAGAGAGGGCAAAATTAAGGCTTTGCCCCCAGTGAGCATTTTGCCTTTCCCATGATTTTTTTCTTCAGCCCTCAAATTTCTAGAATTCTCAGAGAGTGAGGCAGGGAAACTTTTGAAAATTGTTCACATCTATAACTTCCATATTGGCATTCCTTTGGTAGTTGTTCCTGCTCTCTTTTTTGGATGCTCATTTCTGAATATATGGCTGAATATATTCAGAATTGCACGATGCTAAGAAGTTGATGACTGAAGTGAAATTTCATTGGGAGATGTTTGAATTCTTATTTTGAGGAGAGTGCACTTATTTTTAACTCATCATAACTACAGGCCTGTTTAATAGTATGCAAGTTGGGGGGTGTGTGTGTGTGTGTGACCAGATTTTGATATTAGAATCATACTTCTAAGTTCGGACAAAGTACATTTTAATGCTGTTTTTTAAAAGTGTATACAAAAGTGATTTTGGAATTATAACTGTAAATTAGACAGTAAGAATGTAAATATGGATCTCTTGTTTTTGGATGAAATTTTGTAGATTTGCTAATTTTTTTAAAATTCTCATTTATTTTATGACATCAATTTTCCCAAATTATACTGCTGTAATGAAGGGAAAAATGACAAAAAATTGATCTTTGTGTTAAAGAAATGTGTATGCAAACTGGTGAGAGGGGACCTTCATAAGAAGATCCTGATTCATATAGCAACTGTTCCGTTTATTTTGACATTCAAATGTATGCACTCGAGGTCTCATTCTAAATGTAGACTTTTTGCACTTGATTGATACTAATAAAATAGATAGGCAAATTTGGAAATATGCCTATCTTTGTAACTCATTGTAGAGATCAATATATAGTTCATATGTTTTTATTTACAGAGTAAATTAATATACTTTTGTGTGTTTCCCTTTTTAGATTCATGTTATGAAACCAGTATTGCCTAAATTAAATAGTTTATATGAACATGCAGTATCAGAACAAAAAGGTAAGTCTGTTTTGTTAGTTCCATTTAAGACATATATTTATTTTTTGGATTGCAAACTTTCTTTTTTGCTTTGTTGTTTTTTACCACAAGTAATCATTTACTAAGGAATGTTGGTGGTAGCATTTTGTGATATAAATATAAATTACATCAATGAATGGATTCCTAGAAAGTCTTGATGCCTGTTGACAACTAGTTTACACTGTTGCTAGCCAGATATTTGCTAGATTGTGGTGAATCATCAGGACTGCATTCTGTTAAACATACAAACATAATGCGTGCATCCAAGAATTGGTTTTCTTGCTATTCTTTTCTATAGAATTAGAGGTAATGGCACATGGCTACCACATGGAATGTAAAAATGTTTTTATATAATCACTAATTAAAATCTTGTGGTAATTGAATTATGATACATAGAGATGATATGCTCTTGCTCTCTGTATTAAGTAAGAAACATTGAGAGATAGCTAATACTCTGGTGCTAATGCATTTTTGCTCTTCTTTTTCTAACACAGATTGTTGGGTGTTTCATCCATCATGGCACATGTGCATTTACAAACGGATGTTTGAGAGTGAAAACAAAACATTGGCAAAAGAAGCTGTTGTTCACTTTCTTGAAATCTGGCCACAAAAATGTCTTCCCACATCACCAGGATTTTCAGAGGTACGATTTTCTTTCCCTTAATTTCTATTTGAACTCCTTTGTTTGCATACTGTGGAAGAAGGGGAATTAAAATCTTTTTGACTTGATTTGACAAAGCTATTCAGACTTTAGGCCAAAATCACAAAAGTTATCCATGGGACAAATGAACAACATGCTCTGGAGACTTAAGGGGAACATGATGAAAATACACGAGTATTATTTGTCTTCATCTGGTGTGCATGCTGTCGCTTTTACTCTGATTATGAGGACAGGAGTGCACATAGTCTCCTGCTTATATTAAAATTTGCATATAAACTGGTATGAAGGGATTTTGGTAATGGATTGTCATTCCATCTAGTAATACATATTTTTCCAATGAAGCTTATTGTATAGAGAATCATGGCAGCTCAAAAACCATTAATTGTGGAAAGAAGGTTAGGATTTGTTAATCACACACACCATCCTCATAAGGCTCATTCAGTTTTGGAATGTGGGAAAATGAAAAGGGTTAGCATCTTACCTTTTATGATATTTGTAACTAACACTCACATTTTTAGAAGGCGGGAATAATCTGCTCAGTTTACCTCTATACAGAGTTGAGGAAATATATTTGCTTCTATTTATTTGGATACTCATAATTCGGTTAATTTTAAATGTAAAATCCCTTTATAACGTTTATAAACTTCATTCATAATTTAATCCATTCTTACTTTTTAGAAATATTTTTGCAGTTATTTTTAAATTATAGCTACAGTTATTATTTTGTAAATGCAAACATACTGATCTATATAAATAAAAATGTAATGTTTGTTTGTGGGATTAACATCACTCAAAAACCACTGGACGAATTGCCACCAATTGGCTACAAGACACCTACTAACTCAAGGAGTGACCATCACTTTAAAAAAATTGATTTAGTCATTAGGGAGTTGTCGTTGCTAGGATTTATAGTTCACCAAGACCATTTCAAACTCCACCAATGATGGAATTGAACTAAACATAGCACATAGGACTCCCATGACCAACAGAAAACACTAGAAGGGTTTGGTGGGCATTGGCCTTGAGCTTGGGAGTTGTAGTTCACCTATATCCAGAGGACTGTAGACTGAAACAATGATGGATCTGGACCAAATTGGCACGAATATTCCATATGCCCAAATATGAACACAGATGGGGGAAATAAACCTTGACATTTGGATGTTGTAGTTACTGGGATTTATAGTTCACCTACAATAAAAGAGCATTGTGAACCCCAACAACGACAGAATTGCAAACTTCCCACACAGAACCCCCATGACCAACAGAAAATACTTAAGGCCATTCAGTCCAACTCCCTTCATCAGGGCAAGAAAACATAATCAAAGCCCTCCTGACAAAGAGCCATCCAGCCATAGATATAGATAGATATATATGATTCACACACAAACACAGATATAGTATCATAGATTTGAAAGATACCCCTAAAGAAGGACAATGATACGTTGCATGTTCCAGAGTAGGCAAACCAGACAAGCTCCACATCAACACTGACAAAGAAACAGCAAGAAATACTGTTTACCCACAAGCAGAAAGAAATTACATATATTAGAAACCAACATTTTATTTTCCAGCTCACCAGACTAGGCCACAGCAACGCGTAGCAGGGGATGGCTAGTACTTGATAAAAGATGAAAAGTGGGATAAAAATAAGACAAATATATAAATAAAATCATTATTGTCTACTGTTTTCTTTAATACAAATGCATTTTCTTTCTTTAGTTCGTTATTGGCCCTTTAATGGATGCCCTTTCTGAAAGTTCTCTTTATAACAGGTAATATATTATTTATTAAAAACAATGGATAGTTTCTTTAGATGTTAAAAGATAGCAGTCATAACTGCTGGTTGATGATAAAAAGAGAAAGTGTCCGAGTCATTTAATCTTGTATTCTGTTGGGGTATAAGCCTTGATCTTTAATTTAGGTAATCAGTGAATTAGTTCAGGGCATGCTTGAGACTACCCTGGTTCTGATTCCCTGATACAGTGTTACATCCAGAAGTAATTGTGTACAAGAAGGTTGATGGGAGAAAAGCAGGCTTCTGATCCTCTTCTTTAAAAGCTTTAATGTGCATTGAGAAGCCCTGGGTGCATAATTATATGGGAAGGCAAACTGACCAAAGTTAGAACGAAGACTTCTTCTCAGAAGGCCTCATTTGAACACAGAAAGCATTTTTGGCTAATCTTTCAGTACTCTTCCTTGAACCTATTTCAGTCAGCTGGATCCTCTAATGTGGAAAAGGTTTATTTTGAAGGTGATGAGGAACTGCTGAGGAGAGGATAAGGCAGACCTTTGCATACATTTATTTCTAGATTCAAGATGTTAACGTTGTTGTTAATTATGTTAGCTTACTTTGTAATACAAATATATGTATGAACACTATCTCTGATGTTCTACATCAGCTACTTAGTTACATATGCATAGCTATGTAATGTCATCTGGCCTGACCCCTCTCAAGTCCACCTTAAACAGCCAGCATCCACATCAGGCAAAGGAGATTGTTCGGCTGCTGATTGGAGTCCAAGGAGTATCATGTTTCTAGTCCTCTGCCACCAGCACACTATGCTGACATGACAAATTGTGACAGAGCCATGCTTCTGATTTTTGCTGGTGCTATGGGTGGGAAATGTAATTCACCTTGCACCTCAGTTGGAAGCTGAGCAGATCTTTGCCTAACACAGCTGCTGACTCTTAAGGTGGGCTTTGAAGGCAGTCATGTAGTCTTATTATAAGACTATAAAGTCTGAACACAAGAGCAGTTGTAGATCTGTAACTCTGGATTCCAAGTCTGCTATTGCTTTTTATAAAGTTGTTAGCAGCATACAGAATTATTTGTATGATTAACAATAAGTGGAACATTTTTAAACACTTGGGAGTCTCGGCTTCTAATTTTCACTACTGTTTTTCTTTGGTTATTATCAGGTCACCAGGTCAAAATATAGGAACCTGTCCTCCATTAGGATTGAAACTGCAGGCATTCCTGGCTACATTCTTTACAAACCTTCCAGCAGAAGAAAAATGTATGTTAAGGATTTTGGTTTGAAATCACATGAAAACCCATTCTTCATGTTAGTCCTTATTCCATGCAATTTAAATGGGAAATTGGTCACAGGGAGGAAGCTGTTACTCGGATATCCATGTGGATTCTATATCTGCACCATGTGAAACCATCTCTCTTAAGTTGTTAGTTTGTCTCAGTGTTAGGTTTGACATTGAACATGTGTGCAGCAGGTGTTTATAACTGCTGTGTAGAAAGCTTTCTGGTTGCATTTCCCCCCAGAAAGATACTCTGCATTGATTGGACTGTCTGGACTCTGCTCCTGCTGTATAAACAGCTCCCCTGAATTCGGCGTTGGTCTAAGACAGCAATGGTCTAAACCAGCCCTGAATTTAGTTGACTGTGTAAATGAATGCTTAATCTGACACTCTTGATACAGTGGTTGTTCCACCATAGGCCTATAGCATCTGATTTGTTTTTCACTAGAACCATAACATTCACAACAGTTGAGAAAGGTAGGTATAGTATTTTGGAGCCAAGTAGAGCTGAGTACATGTTTAGCCCAATAATGTGTTTTCAGTACTGACACTCACTCACTCACAAAAACTTTTCATGCATGTTCCAACTCTCAAGCAAGATTTATCTGGCTTGTAGAAAATAGTATTCTAGTATTAGAAAATGATGGTAAAGTTGCATAACATAGTACCATTGTGAAGAATGTATTCTTCTGTCAGTATTGCAAGATAGTAACATAGCTCTTCCACTGGATGTGTTCATTGTCACAGTGTTTCTAGCCATTGTTTTCTGTACCATTTTTTCTCTGCTATTATGTACAGTTGTGTCAAACAAGTTGTCTGTTCAGGCCAGATTTAGTGAAAGGATCCGTTTGAGTTAAAGAATGTATTCCACGTTTTTATTGGAAGGCATATTCTCTGCTATTTAATGTTTAAATTGTTTTATTTAATTGTTTTATATTTGTTATAAAAATTTTTTTTTAATTTCTTGTTAAGGTACTTTTTTGTTAAAGTTCATACAGAAGATGAGCAATAGACACTGGTGTGCTGTTCCCATTTTGTTTTTCTCCATGGCCTTGGCCCATATTCCACCATATAGAGCTCTGGATGTTGCAGGACTCTTAGCTCTGAGGTAACATTCTCAGTTGTCTATATAAGATGTTCTAAGCCCTTGGCTCATTATTTAATTTTTCAAAGTGTGTATTTGTAGGGATCTCTGTTCATATCTCACTGCTGCCTGCACTAAACATACGCTTAATGAATAATTCTGCCACTGCTACCAAATGTGAGGTTTCCACCATTTATGTGATTTTTCCACCATTGGAGAAACAAATCTGGGGCTTTCCATTGAAGCAATCACAAACATTACCCCAACTCTAGGGAATCTTCCTCAGCAGTTCTAGCACTGTTGGATGTGTAAGTCTTGACAATTAACCCACCCAGTGGCACAGCCTCGTGGTGTTCTTTGCAAAAACTCAGTGTGAGGACTTTTTCTTCCTTGTCTTGTGTAGCACCAACTGTGGGTGTCAGTCAAAATTTATATGAGGATTTATACTACTTTAATCCCCAACACAGCACTCCCCTTCCACAGTCAGTGCTACCAATACTAACATCTTGTCTGAAACCAAACTCTCAGAATGATAATGATTCCAGAGGCCAGAAGTATATAAAAAGATTTTTTTACAGAGATTAAACATAATGTAGCAAATTATTTATACATAACAATAAAAACATCATACTTGCTTCCTCAGACCCTTACTACTCACTTATCTCAACTGCTTTCTCTCACTACAACCCTCGTCTCCCGCAAAGTCCCCTTAAACTTTTTCAGCTGCATGATTCTCAAATCCATGATAAAAGGTGAACATACACCCCTCAAACTGACTGCCATTCACCAATTGTCCCTTGCAAATCTCAAAACACCCACCAATCAGCATTCCATTCACTTCATTTTCTCCCCCTCCTAACAGATCCTTATACAGCAATATGTTAATATGTAAACCCATAACATCTTAGTATTGTATCCATTTTCAGAGATGTCCTGCAGTGTACTATGATCACACATCAGATTCTCCTACGAGGAGCAGCCCAATGTTATCTCCTTCAAGCAGCCATACACTTGACAGATATAGTAAGTACTGTTATTTTGGACCATAATTAAATTATGTTTTAGAAAATGATTATATTCAATATAAATAATTTATTTTCTAAAGCTTTTATAAAAATGTTGCTATTTGTTACATTTAAAGATACAGAAGTTTTAAAAAAGGGTCTAACCAGTGGAAGAGAGTTCCCCAGCCTGGGAGCAGCCATTGTGAAGGCTCCCTCCCATGTCCTCAGCAGATGTGTCTATGAAAGAAAGTCCTCCCTTGAAGATCTTAAACCTTGGACTAGCTTGTGTAGGGAGATATGGTCTCCTTATGCTGTGTTATTCTTATTGATCAATGGAAATATCTCAGATTACTGCGTTGTTCTTATCTTTTTGAAAATGAGTGTAGTGTGTGTCCTTATAATTGAGAATGAACTGAAGAATTGTGCCCTGAACATGTATAACAGCTTTCATTTCAGTATAGTCATTAAACAACTATTTTAGGTTCTCTTAGTTCTTTCAATAGAAAGAGAAATAGAAAACAAATACTCATGGTCAACTATCACTAGATTAGAAGGGGAAATACAGACTGTTTTTTAAAAAGATTGAAATGGCCTTTCCCCCCATCTATGATGAAAAATTGATTAAGAAACATCTTTTTTCCACACTACAGTGCTTTACAAAATCTTAGTAATATACTTCAAAAATTAAGAGTGACTGTGCTAACTTTAGACATTCACTCTACTTTCTCTGTGTTGGAAAAAGAAACAGACTCATACCTGATTTTTTTGTGAAATTTTTAAAGTGACTGTATGCTATGTTTAAGTGAAATACTGAAGACAATACTTGTTTTCTTGGTTTCTATTATTTTTTTAAGGAGAAGGTGTCCCTTTCAGATATTTCAAATCTCATTGTATGTCTAAGACCAGAAGAATCATTAAGCAGAGGAACAACCCTGTGGAGAAAGGTAAGAGAAAAAATATAGAAGTTGACTAGAATCCTGTTGGTAATATGACGAGTATTACCAAGTCATATTACACACACACACACCTTTTTTTAAATCTTGAACAAGGACATGGTCATTGTCTCTTTGATCAGTGTCCATATTATCTTTTAGAAGCTTTGTTTCAACTAACTGCTTAATTAAAATATATACCTTCCTTTATTATACTAGATTTAAGGACAGTATACAAAAAATAAAAATGCAGTACAGTTAAATCTGTGTAGCAGAATAGGTAGAGTAGTAATGCTTCCAGTCATGCTGTATATTTTGCCTTTGTGTCAGGTGCTCAAAGGGAAAATATTGTAGTAATTGGATCCCCACTTTTCATGAGCGTGTTTCTTCATTGGGGATTCACAACAGAGGAGTCCCTTTAGGAAAAAAAAACCTGATGCATGTGGGTCATAAGCCATTTAGAGTTTTAAGGGAAGCTACAGTGGTCCCTCACTTATTGCGGGTGGACTGCCCGCGATAAGTGAAATTCTACGATGTAGGGGCGCCCCCTCACCTTCCCTCCTCGCCCTCCTTACCTTCTTCTTCCTCCTCCTCATCGCCACATGGGGCTCTTGCCTCCGCTTGGGCCCCGCAACGCTTCCTCAGTCGTGAGGCTCAAGCGGTAGCAAGAGGTCCCATGAGGCGATGAGGAGGAGGGAGAGGAAAGTAAGGAGGGCAAGGTGACGGCTCTTTTCCCTTGCTCACCCTTCTTACCTTCCTTGTCCTCCTCCTCTTCGCTGCCTGGGGCCTCTTGCTGCGATGCCACATGTGACCCAAGCGGCAGGAAGAAGCCCCAGGCGGTGATGAGGACGAGGAAGAGGAAGGTAAGGAGGGCATGGGGCGGCTCTTCTTCCCCCCTCACCCTCTTTACCTTCCTCCTCCTCCTCTTCACTGCCTGGGGCCTCTTGTTGTGATGCCGCATTGGGCTCAAGCGGCAGCAAGAGGTCCCAGGCGGCGAAAAGGAGGATGAGGAAGGTAAGGAGGGCAAAGGGGCGGCTCTTCTAACCCTCCTTGCCCTCCTTATCTTTCTCATCCTCCTCCTCTTCGCTGCCCGGGGCCTCGTGCTGCGATGCCGCATGGGGCCCAAGCGGCAGCAAGAGGTTCCAGGCAGTGAAGAGGAGGAGAAGAGGAGGAAGGTAAAGGGGGGGGGGGTTAAATTCTTAAAAAACAAACAAAACAAAACCACGAAACAGTGATTCCGTGATAAGTGGACCTCAAAGGAGCGGTCCGTGATAAGTGGACCGCAAAGGAGCGATTCCATGATAAGTGGACCGCAAAGGAGCGAGAGACCACTGTAATAGCATCTTAAAATGGGTTCTGGGGGGATATCCAATGAGAAAAGCTTCCTTAAAAATAGATACTCTGGAAAAATTAGCAGTCAGTGAAATAACTAGAGCAGAGCTTTCCAAACATTTAATGTTGTTGACACACTTTCTAGACTTTCATCTTTTTGGTTTTACCAGCAAATACCACCTGATAGCCGTCCACTGCATGGCTATCAGCCTCCTTCCAGTAGATTCAAATCAAGTAAAAGCTTCATGAGAATCACCATTCCTCTTGGTGTTCCCTCAGCAACAACAAGAGTGTCCCTCTGGGTAGCTAAACCAGGAAATCCCAATTGGATTCCCCCCCGCCCACAAGAGTCCGCTTCCATGGGCAAACCAAGAGTGGGCAACTCAGAAGTCCCTGAACAGACTCAGAAGTAGACTGGGCAGATTAAAAGACAACCTGGCAAAATGGCACTACCTTGAAAAATCCTCTACTTTGTGCAACTGTGGAGCAGAACAAACAACTCCACACCCGTATGCTTGTCCACAATGCCCTGCCTCATGTACAAAGGAAGACTTGTTTAAAGCTACAGACAATGTGGTCGCTGTTACCCGGTTTTGTTCAAAAATGATTTAGCCGCTTATGCTCCTTCTATTTTTATGTTTTGTACTTATTTTTGCAATTTTTCGACACAAAATAAATAAACCAGCAAATAGGAGGTTGAACCAGTCCCTTATAAGAAATACGGGCACATTAAACTGCAATAACAAAATGTTTGAGTTCACAACATATTTTATGAAAATCTGTCATTTATATTTTTAAAATGCACATGATTTATTACTTATTTCACACACTCAGAGGTTTCTTGTCACATTCGTTTGACACATTTAAACACTTCAGATGGCACACCAATGTAACGTGACACACGGTTTGGAAAGCTTTCTTGTAGATGCTTTATATTGTACTTACTAAAATATCTGTACCATTTTCAGAGTCAACACACATGCTAATACAGCTAATTTATCACAATATTGGTCACAGAATCAAACTATATTGTGTTAGTAGAATTGTACTAGCTCATGTTTTGGTTTTCATGTCTCTTGCATCCTTTCCTAATGTCCTAGAAGAAAGGATGAGTTGAAATATTTATAATTAATAATATTAATAACATCATAGTAATGCACTTGGTTTTGAGCTGTGTACTGCCAAGTCAAATCTTAGTGCATATCTGAAAGAATTGCTGAATATTTGATTCAGAAGATTTTATTGTAATATGAAATGTTCTTTACTTGTAATTTGATAAATATAGCTGTCTCTAAAATAAAACAGTATGGTGATGGATTGAAACATTCATTTTTTCCCTTTAGCTTTGCAATTGGTTGTGTGTAAATGACATGCATTTTCGAAAGCCTTTAAACTGTAGTCTGCCTCCAGACAAAACCAGATTGAGTGTTTATGTGCAATTTCTTTTGGAAGATTACCTTAAATCACCTGTGGCCAGTTGTAAGTAATACATAAGTATTATTATGTTGTAACTAATGATGTCTGTTAAAGCAGGAAATATATTCATAAAATAGTTGTTTTCCCATTTTTCAAAATTAAGTTATTTAAGCACTGCATTAAAAGTGTTTGTGAGTCTCTTTGACTGAGTGATACTGTTTTGGAGTGATGTTTTGGGAATACTTTTATGTATGAAACTTACTTTGAAGTAAGGAGCCCCCGGTGGCGCAGTGGGTTAAATCCTTGTGCCAACAGGACTGCTAACCAACAGGTCAGCAGTTTGAATCTGGGAAGAGCAGGGCGAGCTCCCTTTGTCAGCTCCCCATGCAGAGACATGAGAGAAGCCTCTCACAAGGATGATAAATATGTTTTATCTCAGTTGCATTCATCCCATGGGATTACAGTTGTTTTTAACTCTTCGACTAGCAAAACCAATTTTGCAATTGCCAAGGTTTTTAAAACCCTTCATTCAATCAAATATAGAAATGATTTTGATTTTTCTCAAAATACTCCCGTGTGGAGCTTAAAGGATTTTAATGTATTTAAAATATAGCACATAACTTGTAGGGAGAATAGTTGAGATGAATAACTGAGCCCCAGTCGAATTGGTGATGAAATAACAGAATGTATTATGAAATGGTGTATCTTAATCACATGTATTCAAACATAACCATGCAAATTTGCTTTTAACAACTAGTCATTTTTTTTTAGTAACAGAAAATTGCCTTCTGCCAGACTGGTCTGATGCAAAACTTATTGCTATAATGATTCTTCTGGCTGCAGATATGGAAGATATGAAGAATGAATACAGGTAAATATAATTGAAAAACAGTTTACTCCACTCTTCAACCAAAGAGACTTTCAGATGCTCACTACTAAAGCCATAGAATTCAAAGACACAGCCATGTTAGCACAGACTATCCAATGTTACGGCACCTTAACAACCTATTGAGCCAATGAATCACCAGCTTTTGTAGACTGTCTGCTTCCTCTAATAATGCATTGTAATAATGTGCTTCTGCCTTTAATCTTGCAGCCTAAGAGACACAATAGAGGGAAAAGGATTGGGTTGGAGGAGGTGTAAAGCAAACTTAAGTGATAGTTTATCATTCTGGAGTTCTTAATGGTGTTTTTCCTTCAAGGACAAAGGCTCCTTTCAGCTGTTGCTTCTCTTATCAGTGTAATGGGCCAGATTGATTTCTCCCTTGTCACAATGCTTTTCCTGGGTAGCAGGGAATGCATCCAGCCACAATCCTTGGTTCTTTAGTCATAAATGGGTATGTTTGTATGAATGTGCTTAAGATACTTTTATTTCTGTTGAATTCGGTACAGGATTCAGTCCACAAACCACATGAACAGACTTTCTGTATTATCCATTGTGAATAAAGTATATAGAACAGTTAGAGCTCAATGACATCAGGCAAATGTTGCAAATAACAAAGAATCCTACATTATTTCCCCAGATTCTTATTGTATCATTTTTGTAAAATCAGTATGTAAATAAGCTGGTGCTTAGCTTTGGAGTGGCACAATTTACAAATAGACTTATATGCAGGTATATAGATTTGAATGCTCTTAAGAATCATTGGCATTTTGCATTTTTCATCTGTGTGTGTGTGTGTGGGGTGGGGGGGGTATAAAGTAAATCATTTCGCAAGTACGTTTTATAACACAACAGCTACATCCAACATGCAGTCAAATATATGCTGGGAGATGAGAATATTTTTGACCATATAGACTGGTGCTGATGGGACTTGAAAATATCTGAAGAGTAACGTGTTGAGAAAAATTCTTGTAGATGAAATAAACAATTTTAATGGTGCCTCTGGGTTGCTTTTGCTTTAACAGATACACATTTTGCTTCCCCTCCCAAAATTTCTGTTGTAAACTTGGGAATGCCTTCTGCTTCATGCTATATGGAAGGTACAAATGTGTATCCTCCATACTAATTTTAATGAACCCAGAAATCAAAGTTTTAATGTCTCTGCTTTTAACATGTATTTTGTATTAGGGGCAATGTCAGAACAGAATGGGTTGAGTTGAAGTCCCTTCTAAATCCACTACTAGATGTCTTGCTCAAACTTGGCACTAATCCGTATATTTCAACACAAAAATCCGATAAAAGCTTACAGTTGCTATTGAAATTGCTACAGACTTGTTCAAGAAAACAATCCACTCTACAAATTGGTTAGTAGTACTTTCATTCTGCATGTTCAAAATTTATTTCTGCAATTTTACTCCTCTCACTGGTAGAACAGAGCAGTGGGCAACTGAATAATGCAGCTAATTGTAACAATTGATATGGTAACAGTAATTCATGCTCAAGTCATAAGGTGGCAAAAGATTCCAGTAAGACATTAAACAGTCTTTAGCAAGCAGACATTTAGAGAGCTTTGGAATATGGGCAAGTAAATATGAATATTTCTCTTTACAATCAGGATGATTTTAAAAAAATCAGTCTTTCTATTTTGACAGTAGACCCCAAAGCTGCTAGAGGTGTTAGATGTTGGGACTACAGAAATCATATTTCACTATTAATTTAAAAGTACACTATTAGAGAGTTTGGATGAAATCCTGCTTGCGCTGATGGAAGGCTAGTATCAGTCTGATTTGCAAAACAATCTTTCCAAATCTGCTCCAAGGGAGAATTGCTGGGGGTTTGGCAAGGGTGGGGGAAATCAATCGAGAATCAACCTTTGGATTCCATCAAATATGTTCTGGACTTAGTTTTGTATAATCTGCCAGGTATATACTTTATTTTTTCAGTTCTAAGAAACAGTTTTTCCTATATAAACATCTCTAAAAATGATGTGTGTCTTTGTATTACAGGTGTATCTTACTGTTTTGTTGGTGGTGGTATACTGAAATTAGGGTGTCTTACACTTGATGACATCTTACAATTGAAGAAATACAGTTTTTTAACTATGCTTATTATATTGTTCATTACATTCAGTATGATTTGCATTTTGTAGCTTTGGGAGCAATATGCCCTTATGGTATTTTAATACAATGTATTTTTGCACAGATGGGATAACAACATTTCTTCAAACAACATTTATGTCTGCCACAGAAAGTATTCTGCATTTTTTTCTCAGAAGACTTACTGCTCATGAATTAAACACAGTGAGTATTCACTTCAGACAAAAGCTATTGAAAAGCAATGCAGAACTTTGAGTTAATGTGTGGCAGCCTAAAAATAGGAGCTTGCAGTACTGAGTTGAAAATGGAGGGATTTTTTTTAATGTCAGGAGCAACTTGAGAAACCAAGTCACTTTTGGTGTGAGAGAATTGGCCATCTGCAAGGACATTGCCCAGGGGACTCCTCGATGTTTTGATGTTTTACCATCCTTGTGGGAGGCTTCTTTCATGTCCCCGCATGGGGAGCTGGATCTGACAGAGAGATTCAGCTCCCCATGCTCTCCCCATGCTCAAACCTCCGACCTGTTGGTCTCCAGTCCTGCCAGCACAAGGGTTTAACCCATTGCGCCACCAGGGAATGGAGGGAATGAAGAGTTGTAATACTGGAGAGTCATGCATATATTTTATCCCCAGATTACTTAGGCATGTTTTGTCAGAGCATCTGTGTTGGTCTACCAAAATAAAAGGGGTGGGGGGAAGCACCAGATCTTTGTTAGTAATCTGAGGATTTCTGCAGAAGAGAACATTCAGAACTCCAGTGAAGTGCAGAGATATTTTTAATGACTCGGGGCTCATCTATACATACCTTAAAATGTGATGCCAGTCCTGAGTAGCAATACTCCAGACTGGCCCCTGGTACAGCTACACTGTCTCCATCCCATTGGGTGATTTGGTTATTCAGGTTTGACTTCTGGTCCATTTCAGTTTGGGGCCATTGTAGATAAGCCTTAAATGTGGTTTATCCTAAAAGGTGTCCATGTTATGTTTGAAGTGGAGGGTTGTCAGAAATCATTTTGATGTGACATGGATGCAGGCTGTTAATGGAGTCCATGGGGAGTCATGCATAAAGTGAGGGTTGTGTGTGTGTGTGTGTGTGTGTGTGTGTGTGTGTGTTGTTAGATTCTGGTTATAATAGTTGCATAAATATTTCGCTTTTGTACCTTCCTTTTCAGATTTCAGACCTGCAACGCTGTGATTTATATCTAGGAGTGTTGCTGGAGATAGCAAGCTTCTCTTCAGTCAATGGCTGGAAGAAAGGACCTTTTGTCTGCAGCTTTATCTCCTCTCTGATAAATGCCTCACTCTGCAATCTGCAGGAGATGTCCGATGAAAAGGTAATTTTGAAAGTCCTAGTGCATGAAGCTGACTCAAATAACCTTTATGCACCATAGAAATAATTGCTTTGTGTAATGTATACTACTTTTGAAATGTTTATGAAACACTGGAATAAATGCAGTTTTCCTTTGTTAATAACCTGGCATTCTTCTGTATAATGGAGAGAACCAAATAAATGTCGTCATTGTTTCAGATTCGTTTACTAATTCTAATTTTGGGTGCGTGGATGTTCAGCTTATATGATTTTATTGATATACTTTCTAATTGTTTTTCTAATCATTTGAGGATACTCTAAAAGGTTGAAATTATTTATATATCGTCAATTTTAGGAAATAAAACTTGGAAAACAGATTCAGAAAGCAGTGAGCATTGCATCACTAAGCAAAGTTTGCGAAATTATTGATCAGAAGCCAGATCTTCAATTTCTACCATCTGTTAATGCCCTAAAAACAGCCATTTCCTGTATACAACTTGACTTAAAGAAACCTTCCTGTATGGAAAAAAGCAGGTATATATTTTCACATCTTTGGTCAACAAAGATTTAATGTATTTAAACATTCCAATATTCTAACTTTTTAACCTGCTGTCTTAATTATTACCTTAATCTTTAAAAATGCAGATTAACATAGACACTTCTTTATCTTTCTGACTTTCCAGTTCCTGATGTGTTCCTAGTAGGTAAGGACTTCAGTTAGGATTTAGCTACTGGTAATCCTGTGCTCAAAAAGACACTTATTTGGAATTTTACTTCCAGTAAATGTCTGTTGGCTTGTGCTGTAGATGATGTGCTGTTCATGGGTCTTATCTGTAATAAGATACTGAATTTAGTCTACTTTTCCTTTAGCATATTTTTAGTCTTCTTAATGTTTCTGTCAAAAATTCTTTTCAGTGGACTAAAATAATTCTTTACTTTTACAGTTCTCCAGAAGAGCCTGCACCTAATCAAGGATGGGGGAAAATAGTCGCACGATTTATACATGATCAATGGGCTTGTCTTAATTTTGTTCTGAATAATCAAAGCTTTTCTAAGGAACTGAATATGGAACAATTTTTGCACAGTGATGAAAAGTGTTTACAAATATTACAGTCTGCACTGGAAGCAATGACAGTTCTTCCTTCTGATCATGTTCTACCTGTATTTCATTGCATGAAAATACTAGTTCCCAAGGTAAATAGTGTAAATCTTGTATGATTTTATAATGTGGCTTTCATTTTTTTAAACCTATTTTTCTTTTTTCCCCTGTCTTTAGCTCCTGGAATCATCAGAATCTGTGTGCATACAGGCTTTTGATTTAGCATGGAAAATAATATTTTCTCTTAGCAACACACAGTTGATATTTTGGCCTAATTTAAAAGCTTTCGTTCAGTTTGTGTTTGATTCACAAGTTCTTGCTGTTGCTGCAAAGAATGCGAACCAAGCATATTTAAAGATAAAAGAGGTAACAAAATTAAAACTTCTATTGTGTCTTTGTTTTTTTGTTTTTCTTGACAACATACAGAGGATTGTGGCTTAGTTTAGATGTACTATTTCTTTCCCTTACATGTAATTTATTTCCTTCTCTCTGAAATGTGATTATATCAGGAATTATGATAATAGCTTCAAATCAAATCAGCCTATTAAGCAATATTTGAAAATTAGTTTAGTATCATGATTTATTCTGAAGCTGGCAAACAGATGAAAACTGATGCTTGATTAAATAGCTTGTGGTTTAATTGTGACTTGCCTGCTATATGTAGAAATACAATGATCCTGCCACAGTGAGCCAATGTATAATCATCAGAATTGGCTCAATTGAGTTTTTTTCTCTTCATGGAAAAAGTGTATGGGAAAGGAGTTCCCTTATTTCTCCTCTCAACCTCTGAAAAAAAGAGGCTGATTTTTTTTCCATAGTAATAATAAACCTTTGCATGGAAAAGACTCCTAAGCTTCTAGATCCTATATTTTTTTGGGGGCAGCTTTGGCTAAAAACTGAACTTGTCACAATTAGTAAAGAATTATATTTCACTTACTTGAAGCCAAGATAATTGGGCCCATATTGGAAGAAAGGCAGGATATAATAAATTAAATAATAAATATGTCCAAATGAATGAAACTCAAGGTTTTTTAAAAATAATACCTGAGAATACAGAAAGGGAAATCTTGCACAGTGATAGTATGCAGCAAATGAAGTATTTATGTGATCTGTTTTTGTAGAACACTCACAATGTATCTGCTGAAGGACCGCTTACTGATTAGTTTTGAAAGGTGCAAAAACTATCACAGATCCTCACTCATGCAACCAGAATACCCATTTTTCCCTTTGACGTTCTTCATATTCCCCAACTGTCTGGAATTGATTTGGATGTGATTTGATGTGGTACGAAAATATATACATAGCAGTGTGGTCCGAACCTGGACAGACACTGTCAGATACAACCCTTTGGCCACAATCCAAAGGAGCTTTTCAGCGGGAGAGAGGAGGGATCTTGGATTGCAACTTGTACATTTGTCTTAGATGTCCATTATTTTTTCCACCTCTTCTCTTAGATCATGTTTCAGATTATCGAAATGTCTTCTACAAGAACTGGAGTCTTTAATGTGCTGATAAGTTATTGCTGTCACTCTTGGATATTTCCTACTTCTTGTGACACAAATGTTGCCGAAAATGCATTTTCAAATGCCAGCAATTACAGTGAGCTTCTCATAGAGTCTTGTCTGTTTGGAACAGTTTTCAGACGTGACCAAAGGTAAAAAATCAACAACAAACAATCCCCAAAAACTCATATTCGTCTTATTTGTGTTGTGTATGAACAATATTTGCTCTGGATTTTCATTGCTGAATTCTTGAACTATAACTGACGAATAATAATATCAGAGCGTGTGTAGTAAGGTCTTTAATTTCCATCTTTCTCATTTCTGTTTTATACACAAATTAATATCAAGACTCATTCAGGAGGTGTCTGCTTTTGTAGAAAACCTGGGTGATGAATGTGCAGCAAATGTTGTTACAGAAAGGTCAGTGTTTTGTCACTTACTTGACATTAATTATACCTGCATCCTTTAGAGCATTCTATTTTGCAATTCCTCCTCTACATTTAGTTGCATTCTACTTTGCTATCACCATTAGTATTCTACCTTGTAAATCCTATATTTACATATTTGGAAATACATAATTTAAGCTTTGATCATTGTTAAATCTGTCAGTGATATACATACATTTTATTCTTTTATCCTTTTTATGTGGCTTTACACGTGCAATTGCTGCTTGGGATTGCTGGGGCAGTTGTTTATTTTTCCTTTTCCTTTTCGTCTCTCTATTGATCTTTCCCATTTCAGATCCCACTTCTTCTTGATTCAGCCTGTTGTACATTTGGTTCTTTTTTCAAGGATGTAATCTAGGAGCATAAAATCCGCTAAATATTCAACTTCCCAATTTCTATGGTCTTTTCAACCCAACACCACAGTTGCTTGGGTGCTGACTGTCACATATTTTATAATTTTATAATTTATGCCCCATTAATTCTTCAATTTCCTTCTTTACCCTGTTATAGCATTTTTGTACTTTATTCCAGTCCTACCACATATGCATATAGGAGCCAATGCCTTCACATCTGTGCCAGCATAATTTTGTGATTGATTTAGTTAACGTGAGCTAATATAATTGGGGTTCTATACCATTTGGTCAATATTTTCTTAAACAACACATTTTCCTTTGTGTTTCTCTGGCCCTAATGCATTTAATTTTTTTGACTGAATTGATCCAGTGTTCAGTTTGTTCAAGTCCTCTTTCCATATCTCAGCCAATGTTTGTTTCAATTTAAATTGTTTTCCAACTAATTTCTTGTGTATGAAACACATCAGGCCTTTCTCCTTTTCTAATTTCCACTTTAAATTGTGCTTTTCTAAATAAATATTTTTGGCTCCAAATTTATTTGCTTTCACAAAAGTTGAACTTGAGTTTTGTGCAGTACCATAATGCTTCTATTGTAAACTTTAAAAAGAACAAAAGAGGAAAGTCACCCTTCCCCACCTTGCATGCTCTCCACTGCAAGACAAAAGGCATTTGTGCCACTGTGGGCATATATGGACAAGGGAATAGCTTGAAATGGTGAATTGCGAGAAGTAGTGCCATAATGGAAAGAGCAGAGGGATGATACTTCTTTTAGGTCCTTCCAAAATTGACTTTCTGATGGCTTCTTTTTTGTAAGAGCTAAGGTACAATACTCACATTGAGTTAACCCAGTTGTTTTTATTTTACTAACATGTTTAGGCTTATACTTGAGCATATAGGGTAGATGCCACCAGCCCCACTTTCCCTGAAATATTTAAAGGCATGTAATTGTCCTATACATCTAATTGGCACAGGGTGTCAAGTCATTTTTATTGAGGGCCTTATGATTGCCTTTAAAGGATTTGGGACTTGAGATTGACACACGTGTCCTAAAGTTGTGTGTATGTGCATGTGTAGACTAATTATACTAGAACCAGGATGTCTCACGCCCCTAAGTTCCCATTTAGTTTTCCATATAGGTACAGAAGAGGGCCAGTCGGGAGACAGGAAAGTGCTCTGTTGGTGAATTCAGATGTAAAATATTCACATTCTTTGTGAAAGATTGGGAGCTGAATTTGTACTGGTCTTATCTACACTTAAAACACACACCATTTTTGCAGATACATTTAATGAGTACCTGCAAAATGAATATGCAAAATAAGTATGAATATGTTGTTTATATAAATGTATGCTGTTTGTTGTGGCACTATAGTGTGCTTTTTGTGAGCTGCCCCGAGTCTGTTCTGGGAGATAGTGGCGGGGTATAAATAAATAAGTAAATAGTGCCTTATTCTGCAATTTTATGTATGTGTCATCCAATGAGAGCCCCACTGAATTCACTCTCATATATGTGTTAGTATTGTAGCCTAAATCTTTAATGCTTAAGACCAAAAGCAGTGTAATATCTAATTCTTATGTATCAGTACTATAATGTATTACAGTATGAACAGAGATGACCATTATGTGAGAATTTGTGCCATCAAATTTCTCTGCTTGCTAGATGAGTCAAATACGCTGCACAAGGAATTCATAGAAGACTTTGTCATGAAGCTGCTTGATAAAGTAAGAGCAATAGTCCTCTTATTTTGATGGAAATTGAAACAATCCTATGTATCCTGAAGTATTCATCCTCAGTGTTTCCATTATCTGCAGGGTGAATTCATGTTGAAATCAAAAAGTCACTATTATGTGAATTCTTTACAACACAGAATTATAAACCGATTGTGGCAAACATTGCTGGTTCTATTTCCAAAACTCCATAAGGTACTGTCTTACCTAAATTTGTTGTTAATTTTTGGGTCAAAATTGAGTATTTAGTGTCATAAAATGGAAGTCTTAATGCCATTAATATATGGCAGCCCTTTTCATAATGTTCTTCTCTGTAATAATGAACTCAAGAGGATGAGTATCCCTCATTTCAGAAGCAAAATGTGACCTGGAAAAGTGAGATAGTAGCTTCTATTGAGTTGTGGAACACATATTGTATATAGCAGTGGTTTTCAACCTGGGGTCTGGGAACCATGATGCCATGGGGGGGGGGGGGGGTTTCCAGGAAGGATTGAAGAAATATTGAATTTTTTTGCAGTTAAATCCTAAATAGTAGTAGTAGTAGTAGTGGAGCCCCCGGTGGCACAGGGGGTTAAACTGCTGAGCTTGTTGACCGAAAGGTCGCAGGTCTGAATTCGGGGAGTGGCATGCACTTCCACTGTGTTAAGAAAACCCCTGTGTTAAGAAAAGAAGTCTAGTGAAATTTTCAGCAGGTTTATTTTATCTAAATGGAAATCCAGTACAAGCCATCTATCAGACCTGGTTTTGCTACAGAATTAGATTTCCGATCTTACAATAATTCATTTGATTCAAGTTAGTAAAAAAAAAACCCAACCTTTTCTCAAAATTAAGTAGCATCTATAGCAGATTGTGTTGTATGTATGTCTGCATACTGATGTCTTTTTGCAGATTTCAGATTTGTAACCTGTGTTTTTTTAAAAGGACATTTTAACAAGCATTGTGGATAGGATTCTACAAGCTGGACATAGGAATAATCAAGCATCTGTAAAATATTTAATAGAATGGAATATCATTTTGATTCTGCACAAGTTTCCCCAGTTTCTTCAAAAATTCTGGGATTGCTTTAACTACGTGAGTAACGAATATGATTTTTAAAAGCATATCAGTTGCTTTAAAGATGCAAGTGATCAAGTTGTATTGATTTCTTTGCTTGAATGAGTAGCTTTAACTAATGTGCCTCCCTCCATTCAGTTTACATTGACACTGAGACTGTGCTATTAGAATTTTTGAGCTTCTGTATTTTGGAAACATAGATTATATCTAAATGTGATATTAAAAGTGTAATTAAAATAATTGAAATGACATACATGGGCCAATCTTGGTTTATTTTTCAGGGTGAAGACCAGCTTAAAATGAGCATTTGCACGTTTTTAGCGGTGCTGTCACATTTTGACATAATTCTCCAAAGCGCACCTGAAAAGGCAAGTTCTTCTGCTTGAGTAGCAGAAGAATAAATATGTTGTGTAGCTTAACTCATGTAAGCAAGTAGTTTGGGGGATTTTAATTGAAACTGTAGTATAATAAAATACTGGCTTTGGGCAATAGGATGAATGGTATTTCTGACCTTTGACCTTAATAATGCTTCTTTAGTAATTGAGCATCTAGGTTTTCTATTGTTAAGTATATAAAATGCTTTATATTCAGAAATTAGCAAAATTCTACTTATCTGACTGCTGGTCTCATCTTGTACAGATTAAGAATTATAGACTAAAGGATGTTTTTCTCTCTTTTAGACTCCAGCTTTGAAGAAAGCCCTTGTTGTTGTCCTACAGTGGTGTTTCCATCACAATTTTAGTGTTCGATTGTATGCTTTAATCGCTCTGAAGAAAATTTGGGGAATGTGCAAAGCATCATTTGTGAATGATTTCGAAGCTTTAGCACCAGTTATTGAATGTAGTCTTAATCAGGCGGAAAGCATGCATGGATCGGGGTAAGTAGTACATGTTTTGTTTAAAATATCGTCATTACTTTTTGATGGTTATTAATATAGCAGTCATCTGACATTGGGGTGGGGGCAGTGTTCTAGACCACTAATGGATGAATCTAATAGTTTCAGAGTGCCTCTTTATTTCTGTGACCATTTTTGTCTTACCTGAGAGAGCATTTGAAAACAAGCTCAGCTCAGTAGCTACAGTTTAAGTTACTAAAATTTATGAGATTCTTTTAGTCAAGTGCATACTTTTTCTGTAAATGAAGAAGTTGACTGTTTGTTGCTTGTTTTTAAATGAAGTTTTGTTAAATTCTGTCATGATGGAGACCTCACAAGGGAAGTCATTGCGAAAGCATCGCTTCACTTGTGTGAATAAGGTGAGGAAGAAGCTTGATCCATTTGCCAGCAAGTCTACTAAGAACTACCAGCAGTAAAGTCTACCGTTTTTCTGAAGAAATTAAACATGTTTTAAGACATTTCTACCTCTTGACTTAATTATCAGTCAAATGAAGACTGTAAATCAGAACTAAGACTAGCACTTGAAGAGCAGCTAGGAAGGAACTAGATAAGATCCACAGGTGCTAAGCTACATTGTTAAATAGCAAAGTCAGGACCACCCACATTACAGTATTTCCAGGAAATCATATCTAGATCTTCAGCCTTTAATAATACATTATGGATACCTTAACAGTAATGTTCTTACTTGGGGTGATATTATTATTATTATTATTGTTATTAGTGTGTGTGTGTGTGTGTGTGTGTTTGGTGTATGTATGTGTGTGTCTCTGTGTGTGTATATTTGTGTTCAAGTTCACTTTATTATGGTCAATGGCCTGCTCAAGACAAGAGGGACACAGTCCCTCACACACACACACACGCACACACACATGCACACACACACAATATTATATCATAATTGAACTTTAGCTGGTACTAATAGAGATTTTTTGGAAATGTTTCCTTATGACACTTCAATTTGCAGGAATGCTAAAAAGAATTGGCAGCGTATCCAAAAGCACTTCTTCTTTGACAATTTCCATCCACTTAAGGACTACTGTCTTGAGGTATGTGCATAATATAGGAATTATTCAAAGTTTTTTTAAAAGATACTTTGAGATTGGTCCATTTATTTGTTATGTTGAGCATGCAGGTGTGATGATGGACTATACGTTAAAGTATTGATCCTGAGAGATCTGGTTTCAAATCTTCATTTAGTTATGAAGCTTATTGAGTCAGTTTCTGTCTCAAGCCTAGCCTGTTTTATTTCAAAACATTGATTGCTGTGAAAGAAAAATGGAATAACCCTGTTTAATGATCTCTCTAAGAGAAAGTAGTAATGGTGGTGGTGGTATTATAAAAATAAATCCAAAGAAAATTATAAAGGTAAATATTTTGTTGGAATTATTTTGTAGCTATTATGGATAGAAAGCTAAAGCTTTAAAATGAAATTCTTCAGATCTTATCATATGCCATGCCACATTTTCACTGCTTAAACTGAGGTATGTTGCCTTTGATATGGCCCACTTAGGGGCATGCATGCTCTGCCAAAACATAAAACATTGTGACATTGCAGTATTCACTGTGTACTGTTGACAGTTGATTTTGTATCCTATGAACTTTAAAAAAGCTGCATTCTGTTGTGAATTATTTCTCAGATGAGTTCATTTTATTCTTATGTGGAGGATTTGAGGATTATACATCCCCTTAAATTTTCCTTCCTAAATCCTTGGACTCTGTTCCTATGCTTTCAAGCCTGCTTCTACTTCTGGCTTTAAAAAAGAAAATGCACATCCATTGGTTGAAGTAGTATTTACTGCGTGGATTCTTTTGTAGTGTACACAGCTGAAAATAACATTTTTCACAGGGAATGAAAAATTATGACTAAGACTATGCCTTGTACATATGTATTGTGAGCAAGCAGTTAAGAGAACCCACCTGGCTACTACTAAATTCAGTGGGATCAAGGTTCATGTAAATATCAATTGAGAGAGATTTAGGCAAATACATTTCAATAGCAGTTGATGTTTTTCCTTGCAGACAATATTTTTCACCTTGCCACGTCTTTCAGAAATTGCTGAGGAGGAATGGATCTCTCTATCTAAGTTTAAAGCGTTCACAGACCTCCCACTGAGCTCAACTTTTCCATGTTCCAATTCTTGCACTGCACTTCTTGATCTAAAGCCAAGTGACTGGTGCCAGCAAGATAGAGGTAACTTCTGTTTATATTTTGTTTCCCCTCGTGACCACCTGTGATTTGCAGCTATGGTAATTTCATACATTCAGGCTAAAATGTTATATGTTTTTAATGGTTTTATAATATTATGCTGAATGTTTTAATTGTATTTTTATTACTATATGGCATCAAATTGCTGCCAACTCTGTAAGCCGTCTTGAGTCTCCTCAGGGCTGAGAAAGGCGGACAACAAATACCATAAATAAAATAAACAGATAAATAAATCTGTTGCATTTTAAAATTCTCATTCTTAAACAGAATAAAGAAAACATCTGTCCTAACTAATGCAAGTTCAGAAATGCTAGTGTTTTCAGGACACTATTTGTTATATTCAAATAACAAAGCTATCTCTTTCAGGTTTGAATTCATCCAAATCAAGTAATGAAAGAGAATGGACCGATGTTCAGAAAAAAATCATTCCCTGGAAGGACAGTACACCAGATTTGGATCTAGAGCTTGTATTTCAAGATCGGGCTTCTAAACTTTGCAAATCAAATAGTAAATTGATTGTAGTAGCTTCTCTCCTTGATAAACCCACCAATTTGGGAGGTAAGATTTTTTAAATATGTGTGTCTGTGCCTTCAAGTCGCCTGATGACTTATGGCAGCCCGATACATTTCACAGAGTTTTCTTAGGGAAGGTATACATGGGGGTGGTTTTCCTGGTTCCTTCTTCTGAAATTTCACATACAGCACCTGGTATTCAGTGAGAGTCTCCCATGTTGGCCTGATTTCATTTTCACAATCAGATTGGATCTAGAGTCCTTTTAGGTATTTAGATTCTGGCTTACAATCTTTTAAATACTGAATAGGATGCTAACCAATAGTAAATCATGCTGTGGTATTTGTGAATAATCTAGTTTTTAAGATAGTCATAGATCGAATATACTGAAAGTGTTCTGCTCATTTGTAGGCTTGTGTCGTACATGTGAAATATTTGGTGTTTCTGCTCTAATCGTTGGCAGCATTCATTACATAAATGACAAACAATTTCAGTACCTCAGTGTTTCTGCTGAACAATGGCTTTCACTTCTTGAGGTGAGTAAATAAATGTTAATTAAATTGATTGGTATAGATACCTCAAATATCTGTTGCTAATTTCCATAAACATACCTGTCTGCTTTTTCAGTGAGGCTTTCTAATACTTTAATTTGATTATTTAAGTAGCATTAAATGTAATACAGTTCAAGTTAGCATTTTCCAATAGAATTCGAATTGTAACCAACCTTGTACCCCTTATTGGGAGAAAGGCAAGATATGAAATAAATAAATAAATAGTTAAGATTCTCATGTGTACATCTGAAGAAAAACATTGTGCTTAGGCCTAGCAGCAGATGAAAGGCCTTCCTTCCATTCCAGTTGCCACTGCTGTACCTTTAAAGCAATGGTTCCCAACCTTTTTTTGACCAGGGACCACTTGACCCGGAACCACTCTCCAACATTAGTACCAAAAGGGTTACAAATCAGTTTTTGATCAACTTTAGATTTAGTTTGGTTATTTGGGGTTGCTGATTCAGAAAATTGCATTGGATAGAGCACATCAGCTCTAGTTTCTGATACAGAACATATGCCATCCAGTAGTCGCCATCTGCTCGCCCACAGAAAACTATATTTAATAATCTAGCGCCTCGGATCTTATTTTAGGTCTCACGGCCCACAGGTTGGGAACTACTGCTTTAAAGGAAGTATAGGAGAGGCAAGCACATGGGTCCATTGGCCCTCAGTACCAGCAACAAATGAAAGACTGGTTTCCGCTGGACTTCATCTTTTTCCCCTCCACCCCCTTTCCTTATGTTTTGTGTCTTATTTATAATCTTGAGGGCAGGAAGCTGTGAAATCAACAATACATAAGCATTAGGCTATTCTGAGAGCCTTTTGGGCTAAAGGGCAGGGTATAAAACTTTTTTAAAAAAATAGCTGGGTGCTGTGGCTTATCAGGGGAAAAGGGCAGTGAGAGAAGGAAGGGTACTGGTTCATGCCTTGATTTGAGGTTTTAGAAATATTTCACTGACCTTTCTCAGAAGTTGAAGACATAGATCACCAGCTGATCCAGAATGATTTTTCTTTTGTTCATATTGATAAAATATAGTGGTGTAGCTGAATCAGTCTTCACAAGGATTTAACTTATCAGCCTTTTGAAGAATCAAATCATGTTCTGATGTGTGACACATCTGCAATATATTGATTTTTTAATTTTTAAAACATCTATACTCATCTCACTTTTTAATATGCAGGTTAAGCCATTTCAGCTTGTTGATTATTTGGAGCAAAAGAAAATTGAAGGCTACACTATAATAGGTGTTGAGCAAACAGCCAAGAGTTGCGATCTAACAGAATACAGCTTTCCAGAGAAATCTCTGCTGCTGCTTGGGTAAATGAGAAGAGCTTTCTTAGTCATGTTTTCCCAAATACCTGTTTCATAGTCAAAGCTGAGAACTGCACAGCTGGAACATGGAAAATGCTTGTTATGATACCCCCTCTTCTCAATTTACTATAAGGCAAAAGGTTGCAATATTTTCTTTAGAGACATTTCTTTTTGGTTAATGGAAAGAATGGGGGGGAGGGTCTGCTTGCAGTAATGGAACCAGGTTCTTTCTGTACACACTTATATTCTCTATATGGAATACTGTTACTTATTTGTGTGGTTCCTTAATGCTAACTGGAATGCGTATTTGTGGTTTTCTTCTGATCAGAAATGAACATGAAGGAATTCCTGCAAACCTGATCCAGCAGTTGGACACTTGCGTGGAAATTCCACAACAAGGAGTTATTCGGTCACTTAATGTCCATGTAAGTGGAGCTCTGCTTATCTGGGAATATACTCGGCAGCAGATTCTCAAAGAGAAGGAATCAAGATGAATGCCACAGTTCTTGTTAAAACTGCTGCTCTGATGGTGCTACAAAATCCAAGCAGTGATTATAAATATCACTCTTCATGCTTTATATTTTGTAAAACCCTTTTAAAAATAATGTAAATGCCTTAAATCATGACTGATTAAAATTATTCAATAAATGCCTTTTCAGTATGAGTTTCTTGGTGCTTCTCCTAATCTCATTCATGATGCTTCAAATCATAACCACTAGTTATTCTGTGAGTGAGCTCAAATGACTGTAACACAGTAGCAGCATTTCACTCACTGGTGCAGAATTAATATGGAACTGAGGCAAGTGGTACTGTTCCTCTACCTCTGCTTTGGTCTCACACTGAACATAGTCAAAGATGTATTGGTTCCACATGGTTGCAGATGCCATATGGGGAGTTCATATGAAGCCATCAGCTTAAGAATATGATCTTGGACCTGAGGTTTTAATGCTTGCATATGCCCAATTAATGAATCCCCCCCAACACACACAACACACACTGGCTCAAGCTATATACATAAACTGTCAAAACAATACTGTAACCAGAACAGCTGCTGTTTGATGAAGATTAAATTCAGTGGGTAAGTGTGCACACTCATTTGCTGTCTAGCAGAACTGCACAAACTATTCAGCTTTCTCTTTAAGAAAGTAATATCCAAGATGCATGAGAAAGCTCCAATAAGAGGGAAAGCAGTACAAAAGAAGAAAAGTGGTGGATTCTGAGCATTATTAAGTTTAATCGGCACACCTATTTATGCTGTATTCGTGGTGGTGAATTTTCAGTCATTATAGTGGGTGTGCCTCTTCGGCAAGCACTTTCAAGAAATGTGAGCTTGAGCCTTCGTATCAATACCAGATAAACACATTGTCTTGCACTTTATTTAGATTCTGTCACTGTCCTTTACTCCTGCTGACACTCGAGGTTTCATGCTGCTGCTGCTGCTGCTGCTGCTTCTGCAACCTCCTTTGTGTCGAAGAGCTATGTCTTGGTTGTCTCTGAAGGCTGAAATTCTCCTGTTTCCAACTGTGCTTTATATTTTAAATAATCTCTTCTTCTATCAAAGTATTTAACCTGTTTTGAATAAGATTGTTGTTAGAAAACCAGACTAAGCAGAATTCTAGTGTAACAAGAAAAACTGAAACCATCTTTGACTATTGTTTCATTAATAATTATATTAGTTATGTCTATATTGAACAGTTTACATGACTTCCTTCTCATTTTTTATTCACAAGAGTCCTATGAGATACAGTTAGGACAGGATGCAATAGAAGTGACTATCCCAAAGTCAAGCCAGTCAGTTCTATAGTTCAATGACAATGTTAACCTGGACCTTCCAAACCAGTTCAACAATAACCACTACACCACTTTGATTTTCATATTGATACTGTTAATGATTGCAAAGTCACACTGGAAGATGATCAAATGGCTGTCAGCAGGACTTTTCATAATGTGTTACTTACATATTTTTTAAAAATACTGGGGAAAATACCTGAGGCTCACAAAATAATGGTTACTGCCAAGAGTGGTCGTTGTGTAACAAGGAAGCTTAATTGTGAGATTACACATACATCAGAGGATTAAATCTATTTTATTTTTTTTTATTTATTTATATCCTGCTTGATCTCTCCCGAAAGTGGCTGAATTAAAATTATGGCCAGTATCCTGTTCAGTTAGTACATTTGTCCTTCTATTCCATCCAAAAACCTCCCATATCTGGCAACTGTCAAGCTTCAGGGTTCAAGTGCTACTTACCCACTGCTGTGGACATGCTTTTACAAAAGAGCACCTAAGCTTCTCACACTTAAATGCATCCTCCATACTTTCATCTAAGCACTTCCAATATTCATCCCGGGCTTCCCAGCACACCTTCCTTTCCTTCATTGATGGTGCTGACATTTCTGTCACTAGGAACAAAAAAAAAAATGCTTCCATTGACAATGCTTTTTTAGTATCTAGGCATATGTCTTTTAATAGTCTTTTTTTTTTACATTTGAAAACAATTTTGGACAATATGTTACTGTCATCTTTCATTAATAAGAAAAAGTACCTGACTGCTTAAAAATTACTGAGAAATAATACGTTATTAACAAATTATTCATAAACAATTGGAAAAACAAATGTCAGAGGGTTTCATCAGAAATCAGAATCCTGAACTACTTTCTTCATGTCCTGGCTTTTTGATTTAGAGGAGAACAGCTGGAGTTGGATAAGTTGGCCTATCAGCAAAAAAGTGGCAATACTAGAAAGACTAATAACTTCCAGTTTATTTTCTAACAGCAGCTTGTTCAGCATCTGCATTGAAATACACTGTACAAACTCTGCAGCAAGTGGCAAGAATCCATAAATGCTCTAAGGAATTCTGACCATGCCTGTCTGTTCTTGATCCCTGATTTGAAGCTTTGAGTTTTTCGGCTAAATTGGAGATACAACAACTCTTAAAGGACACAATGCTCATCTGTTTCACCTGCCACTATACTATTGCTTATTAATACATGGCGGGGCTAAGACTGGTGTGAAAATTATGCAATCCGCAGGGTGCTGACCTCTAGCTCCCATTACTCATCACAATTGGCTTTACTAGTCTACTGGGATCTGCAATCCAACATCTGGAGAGCCACATGATTCCTGCTGTTTGTCTTCATTTCACAGATTTTTAGGTCAATTAGAAATACTGATGTTTGAAGGATTCAGATTTTAATTAAAAATACAATTCAACTTTCCACATTTTTGAGTATTTTGTGCCTAAGATAACAAGGGCCCACAAAATGTTGATGAATTGGTGATTGGAATTTTAAGACTGCTCCCATTTAATACTTAACATTGCATTAGCAAACGGCATACTAAGCTGCACTGAAAAACAGAATCTCTACAAAAGCTTACAATCCATATTAAACACCCAAGATAACATCAGATTGTCAAATATGTTTGTAAGAAGCTTGTAGGCATCTAATGCTAGGGATTTGCTATATTCTCCTTCCTTTTTAGCATTACTAGTCTGACAGATTATTTTACATGTGATCAGTGTGAACTACTCAACTCTATAATTGAAAAAAATGTGAATTTATATCCCTTCACTTAGGAAAAAAAGAGGGAAGTACAAAAACTTCACTTGTTGCTGAACATTCATCAGTGCTAGGTTCTACAGTGAATGGTGGCGGATACTGGGGACTCCAAGATCTGGAAGACTCCTTGTTCCTTAGCCACTGCAGATTTATCCTGTCACAGAGAGCAAAATGAGCCCCTGCAAAACATGAAGGGCCCACGCCATGGATGTCAGAGGCTGCCCCCCCCCCCAAATCTAGGTCAATCAGCTTGATAGGCTCAAAAGACACAGGTGTTTCTTGATCAAGCAGAGAAGAATATTTATTACAAGAAGTTTAGAGAAAACAAAGGACAACGGAAAAATCCACACATATGTGAGATGCCTTCTACTATCTATTGTAGGTGGGAACATGGCTGACACGAGAACAATGGCTTATCTCAAGTAGCTACTAGCATCATCTCATGATCTTTCTGCCTAAGGTGAAATTGACACCTCTCTTTGATATAATTGCTCAAAAGGCAGGGATGTGGCTCAGTCTGCAGTTTCCTATTGACTAAGTAAGGAGATCTCACGCAAAAGGCACCTTCTGCCCATGTGTTGATGACCCATCCCAGAACAATGTGCTCTTTGGGGTTGGAAACCTGCACCATCTTTTCTTAACTGGGCAAGGTCAAGCAAAATGGATGCCAAAAGGGTCAATTTTTTATTAAGGTTCACACCTTGAAAAATGGAGGGTTTCCAACATATAACAGGGCAGAAGTTATAATTAATGTTTTGGGTACCGAAGGAGTAAAAATGAGTTGCCCTCTTCCTCTGTACTATTTATATGCAACCAGGGAAGATGAGATATAAGGATTGGGTGTGGACAACAAAATCAAAATCAGCCTATTTGAGGATGATATGCTTTTGACTGTCAGAAATCCAGATATTGTACTAGATCGGATTAAAGTACATAAAATAGTTTGAAAAATAACAGGTTTAAATATTAATTGTAAGAAAATGGGGGTACTGATAATAAATCTGGAAGGAAAGGATAAAGAGAAAATAGTGAATCAATCTAAGGTCAAGATTAAAAGCAGTATTAGGTACTTGGGAGTCATGGTATCTATTTACTTAGAGTTTAAAAATTTAAATTTTGAAAGGTTATTCAGGGAAATTTAAGAAAGTTTACTGGAATATAAAAAAACTAAATCTTTCATTGACATTTTTAAAATGAAAGTATTATCTAAATTCAACTTTCTTTGTAATGTTACCCATTAAATTACCAATGTTTATTTTTAAAAATGGCAGAAAATAGTCAACCACCCCAGGAGTAATGGAACAAGAAGATGTACACTAACGAGAGGCTTATGATAACATTTCTCAGAAATTAGGGGAATTGGGAATACCAGAGTTAAAAACTTACTATCAGACGCATACAATAAAGGGAGTGTTTAGGTCCCTCTCAGAACCTAAATTAATCTGGCGGGAATTTAAAGGCATATGCTGTCCAGGAAATTATGGGGAAATGTTTTTAATATCAAAAATAGGTAACGTTATTAAGGGGTGTAAGAATAACCTGGCTAAAGATATTATGGAGATATTGATTAGTTTTAAAAATAAGCTATGGCCAGGAGTTTCTCCCCTAACTCCAATAATTTTATTGGAGCATTTCCCAGAAGATCTCAGAGTTAAAGTTAAAAAAAATTAGTGGAAGCGGAAACTGCTTTCTTGGAAGGAATGGATACCAAATTCAAAGGGTAAATTTGACAAGTTGGCAGCAGCTATATAAATGGAAAAAGGAATCGTTAGGTAAAAACCTATGTAGAGCTAAATAATTATGAAGAATGGCTATGTAAACTTAAAAAGCAAGAATTATCTGGGAAAGGGCTAATTAATATACAATGGGTTCGTTGATGAGGAAATAGGGTTGAAGTTGTTAGAAAGGCATATGGGAAGGAGATCTAGGACCACTAATGAATCTTGACTGGAAAAGTGTACTAAAGTGAAGAGTGGTTAAGAATCTGTTGATAAGATTAAAATAAAATGTATATAAAGTCATATAGAGATGGTATACCACACTTGTTAAATTACATCAGTTCGATAAGCACTATGCCACTGCTGGAGATGTGGTATGCATGAAGGGACATCTTTTCATTTATGGTGAGGATGTCCCCAGCTGAGGAATTTTTGGAACAAGATATTTAAGGAAATTGGTAATATTATAAGACTAAACATTGTCCCAGATGCTAGGATAGCATTACTAATGGATGCCACAAAGCTGAATTTAGAAATGGAAAAGTAAGAATTGGTGATTATTCTAATTACAGTGGCGAGGTTTATAACTGTAAGGAATTGAAAGATGGTAACCAATGTCAGGTTGGAAGCATGGTATGGGTAGATTTATTTATTTGTCATGTCAGGGAAACCAGTCAATTGTATTACATTTCTAACAGAACAAAACAAACAAACAGACAGAACACAAAATTTGCAAATCTGGTAGTTGATTAAATGTCCTTTGACCAGCATCTGGCCACTTGGAGTGCTTCTGGTGTTACTTGCAGCCTGGGGTGATATGGAACATAGCTTTAAATGACAAATTATCAATGGAAATGAGGGTGCTTAGAAGGGAAATTAAAAGATCACAATTTTCATTAAATTCATCTTAGAGCGTGACAAGGGAAAACAATACAACCTCAATGGACAGGAATTCTGGGAATGACATTTGTTTGTTTATTTATATATTGAAGGTGAAGGAAATTATACTTGTTTGGTGATGGGTCTAAGTGTTTGTAAAATACACATTATTTTGTATATTGTTTATACAGAATGTTGTTAATCTAAGTGGGGAAAAGAAAGAAGTAAAAATTGAGGGGTTTGGGTCAGAAATCAGTAGGTATATTCTGTATTGGCATAATACTTTCTAGGAAAGGAGTCCCACTCTACTCCCTGTATTTAAAATGTGTCAGGAAATAGATTACACTTTGTAACACAATTTTTGTTCCTGGGTCATAAGTGTCATTTCGTAATAGGTTCTATCATTTAAAAAACATGTAAAAAGTTTATTAAACTGCAAAATCTTTGTTTCTGCGGGTCATTGGGAAGAACATTTGGCTACAGTTTTCCAATAAACATCTCATAGTCTCAACAAATTCAACACGTTATCGAAGGCTTTCATGGTCAGAATCATTGGGTTGCTGCGAGTTTTCCAGGCTGTATGGCTATGTTCCAGAAGCATTCTCTCCTGACGTATCGCCCACATCTATGGCAGACATCCTTAGAGGTTGTGAGGTTTATATATCTGTGGAATGTCCAGGGTGGGAGAAATAATTTGTCAGTTTGAGGCAGGTGTGAATGTTGTGAATGGCCATCTGGATTAGCATTGAATAGCTTTGCAGCTTCAAAGCCTGGCTGCTCCCTGTATGGGGAAAATCCTTTGTTGGGAGGTGTTAGCTAGCCCTGATTGTTTCCTGTCTATGATTTCCCTGGTTTTTTTTAGTGTTGTTCTTTATTTACTGTCCTGATTTTAGAGTTTTTCAATACTGGTAGCCAGATTTTGTTCATTTTCATAGTTTCCTCCTTTCTGTTGAAATTGTCCACATGCTTAAATGAAGAACACTCAAAAAACAGGGGAATGCCAAACAAGAAACAATCAGGGCCAGCTAACACATCCCAACACAGGATTCCCCCAGGCAGCAACCAGCCAGGTTTTATTTATTTATGACATTTATATCCCGGTCCTTCTCACACTGAATCGTTCTCACTCAGAGAGGCTTACAAGTTATATGTACATACAACATATTATATTATTCACATAGCACAATATTAGTATTATATATTACTATATATTTATCACTTTTTTCTATTTTTATCCATGGGCTCACTCTCTTTGCCTAATTAATTACCATTTTATCATTTGTTTTTTATTATGATTTTATTATTTTCATTTCAATACTATGTTATTATTAAGTATTTTGTTTGATGTTATTGTTGTTTATATGTACTTTTGCTCTATTGTCATTCATTTGGGCTTGGCCTCATGTTAGCTGCCCTGAGTCCCTTTGGGGAAATGGTGGCGGGGTATAAATAAAGATTATTTTTATTATATTGTACTATACCACTATGGAGCAATATTATTTGCAATATTACATGTAATACATACTATACAATTGTTATATTGTATTATTACTAGTATTATATTGTATTACATTACAATATTATCAATATTATATGTATATACAATATATTATTAGTACAGCACAATAGTAGTATATTTTTATTTATATTTTATTTATATTATAGGCTTTGAAGCTGCCAGGCTATTTAATGCTAATCAAGCTGACCTCAAACAGACAAGAATTCTTTCTCCCACCCTGGACATTCCACAGATATATAAACCCCCTTTTCCTAGTTTCCAACAGACCCTAAAACTTCTGAGGATGCCTGCCATAGATGTGGGCGAAACGTCAGGAGAGAATGCTTCTGGAACATGGCCAGACAGCTTGGAAAACTCACAGCAACCTAATTCAACATAGTTTGTGGCAACCACAAAAATGACCTTTATGGAGTACGACAGCTACTTTCAAACCAGGAACAGAAACTATTCCCCCACATTTTGTTACATAGTATTATACAATCTGAATGCAGAATACTGAAAGGTGCTGCTGCCTCCAAAAGAGGGTCTCCCTCGACTGCCGCTTTCACTTACCGCCACACTTCCGCCTCCGCTTGAAATGCCCGGATGTACGGCAAGCTGACCCATACCGGAAGCGTGCGGCTGCTCGTGCGCAAGCGTAAGTGCGAGGGGAAGAGAGAAGAGCACTCTGCGGCGCTCGTTGCGCCTGCGCACCTCCTCAGCGGAAGCGTCGCTTGGTTGCTAAGAGACGCGCCAGCCTCCTCGTGCCCCTCTGGTCCAATGGAAAAGGTTCAGGGAGTCCCTTAGGGCAATCCTTCCCTTCTCCAACCTCTCTCTTTGTGATCCTGCGCGGTCCTCTGACCCACCTGCTTGGAGAGAGGGTGTTAACTTCCATATAACGCAATATCACGAATGAGAAGGTGTGTCTACACCAGGCCTGGGCAAACTTGGGGCCTTCAGGTGTTTTGGACTGCAACTCCCACCATTCCTAACAGCCCCAGGCCCCTTCCTTTCCCCCCTCAGCCACTTAGCCTTTTGGATTGCAACTCCCACCATTCCTAACAGCCTCAGGCCCCTTCCTTTCCCCCCTCAGCCACTTAGCCTTTTGGATTGCAACTCCCACCATTCCTAACAGCCCCAGGCCCCTTCCTTTCCCCCCTCAGCCACTTAGCCTTTTGGATTGCAACACCCACCATTCCTAACAGCCTCAGGCCCCTTTCTCCCTCCCCCCTCAGCCATTTAAGCCTTTTGGACTTCAACTCCCACCATTCCTGACAGCCTCAGGCCCTTCCTTTTCCCCCTCAGCCCGTAAGCCTTTTGGACTGCAACTCCCACCATTCCTAACAGCCCCAGGCCCCGTCCTTTCCCCCCTCAGCCATTTAAGCCTTTTGGATTACAACACCCACCATTCCTAACAGCCTCAGGCCCCTTTCTCCCTCCCCCCTCAGCCATTTAAGCCTTTTGGACTTCAACTCCCACCATTCCTGACAGCCTCAGGCCCTTCCTTTTCCCCCTCAGCCACTTAAGCCTTTTGGACTGCAACTCCCACCATTCCTAACAGCCCCAGGCCCCGTCCTTTCCCCCCTCAGCCATTTAAGCCTTTTGGACTGCAACTCCATCCATTCCTAACAGCCTCAGGCCCCTTTCCCCCACAACCTGAGAATTCAGCCATAGCAGAACACCTGATGAACCAACCTGGACACAGCATTTTATTTGAGAACACAAAAATGCTGGACCACTCTCACAACCACCATGTCAGACTACACAGAGAAGCCATTGAAATCCACAAACATGTGGACAATTTCAACAGAAAGGAAGAAACCATGAAAATGAACAAAATCTGGCTACCAGATTAAAAAAAATTCAAAAATTGCAACAGCAAAAACAGCAGAGAGAAAAACAGGCAGGGACATCACCTTTCAAGAAGAGTTTGCTCCAGGCACAGTCAGCCCATTGTATGCTAATCAAGGTGGTCAGTTGAAAGATTCACACCTAGCCCAACTTACAAAAGCCCTTTGTCTCACCCTGGTCATTCCACAGATATATAAACCCCCTTTTTCCCAGTTCCAACAGACCTCACCTCTGAGGATGCTTGCCATAGATGCAGGCGAAACGTCAGGAGAAATGCCTGTAGAACATGGCCATATAGCCCGAAAAAACCCACATGAACTGAGTGATTCCAGCCATGAAAGCCTTCGACAATACAGAGAAAATTCTATTGGAATGTTATTGCTATGAACCCCCACCAATGCCCACCCCGATTATACGTGTAAACAAATTTTGTGTCCTATAAATACCATAAGCATCCAATGACTCATTCAAAATAAACCAAACCCTGGTAAAAATCCTTGAGCTCCCTGTAGTTCTTTCCACCACTGGGCTGTATGGTGGTAACGATACATATTCTGACTGCAGCAGTGAAAAACAGAGCCTGCATCATGTATTGCTTTCAACAAAGATGTTCATATTTTAATAAAGCTGAATGCAGAATATAACTGTTTTAGCTTTTCATTAGATGTAGCAAACCTCTCTCATTTTTCAGTAGTCTTTGTGTTTCATTAGTATGAAAAGTGTTTCATTTGAGGGCAGCTTTGTTCTCATGTGTTTTTTGTGCGTAGTTCCTTTTGTAAAGTCGCATGCTGAGTTGCCAGTCTTCATGCTGAGCATTGCCTGTAGACAAAGATGTTCCTTAGATCCAATATCTTCTACAATCAGCACAAAGTGTAAAGGCTAGCCAAATACTTATAGGAAAACAAAGACGATAAAGTGGCCAACTCGCATCCTATGCAGGTTTGCTCAAAGGTAACTTGACCAGTTTCACTGAAAAACGGGTATTTTGTTCCCTTTGCAATTTTTGGTTTATCAAATAGATTTTTTGATGCTGATCACATAAATCACTTCAAAATTGTCACACCATGTAAGGTTTTTGAAAAACAGCCAATTTTCTGTTACAGTTATTGCAAAATTATGAAACATTTTATTTCTCAGCAGTAATTTGCATGATTTTTTAAAAGATTGCTCATATTTTTGACAGCCATATAACCAACATCATGTAACATGTAACAGAGACTCAGTCTGCCGAAATACCATCAAAATACATTTCTGATCATGAAGAAACGCTCAGGCATGCCAACTGCATGGACACTAGAAGATGAGAAGGTAGGTAATGATGGTGATCAGATGCAGTTGGAAGCTGATGCTGATCCTAACTTTGTGCTACCAACATCCAGCGATCCTTATTTAATATCTCAGGCAGAACTGAACGATCTGGTCAGAGATTTATCGGTTTATCAAAGAGTAAGACAGAGCTGCTTGGATCAAGGCTGCAAGGACAGAATCATTTGTTATCTGGTATGAAAATCTCAAAATTTCTCCACTGTGATGAAGATTTGACAAAATATTTTAGCCAAGTTGACAGTGTGACCTTTTGCTGTGACATCAATTGATTATTTTATGCTCTCTGACCAACAGAATGGTTTGTTGACTCATTCATCATAGAGCTGGAAGAGACCACATGGACCATCTAATCCAACCCCCTGTCATGCAGGAAAAGCACAAAGTACTCCTGAGTGATCAATTTGAAGGCTCTTTTTCTATACAATGGCAATATTTACCCTTCTATACCTGTCAGACATGCTATTCATATGAAAGAATCAGATGAGAATATGCAACTTCTGCTGAACTGCCTTCAATACTCAAAGCACAATTGAAATTTGTGTGATGACCTTAAGATAGTTGCAATTCTACTGGATCTGCAGCTTGGTTGCACAAAGTATTGCTGTTTCCTTTGTGAGTTGGATAGTCGAGCAAGAGATTTGCATTATATCAGAAAAGACTGGCCTCCCCACAATAAATTGATTCCATGGCAGAATGTCGCACATGACCCACTGGTTGATCCAAAGTAGATATTCCTTGCATTGAACTCGGACTAATAAGAATTTTTCTTAAGGCAATGAAAAGCAAAGTGAAGCTTTAATTTATCTGCAGCAGATAAGTGATACAAAGATAAAAGAAGGTGCTTTCATTGGCCCACAGATTTGAGATGTGATGAAAGATAGCCACTTTGATGGTCTTCTACAGGATGCAGAACATGTTTTAAATGCAGAAATGTTTTAAACAAACAAACAAACAAATAAATAATGTTTGTAACTTTCTAGTTATGGATTTTATATAATTATTTGAGAAAAGAGCATCTATATACCACTAACAATATTTTAGGTTATTTGCATGCAGAATTTGGGAACTGAATAACACGTTGCTGTGGTGGCAAGCAATGAATACACCCTAACCCCTGTGACACTCTTGTACTATATGTCAATGAGGAAAAAAGGAACTCTGCTCCACAGTTTCAAAGATAAGGACTGAAGTGCCTCACTGCATTGGTGCTACAACTGTTTTCTATATTTAACTATTGAAATACAGTAAAATCCAAAATGGGCTAACAATTACAGTCATAAAGTTTGTGTGACTTATAAGGATAATGCAAGTTTTCTGCCTAAGGCCGGGAGTGAAGATAGAGTTTCTGATTGAACTGAAATATCCATGAGGGTGATGGGCTGCTGCAGAGAAGTGCTTGACTACTGTATGTATTTTCCTAAAAGGTTTTACAAACCTCATTTTCTTTAGTGTAAACAAGAACAAGATAAGTGCCTAGTCCCGTCTACATCTAAACACTTTGAGGGAGCTGAAATGTGAACAGTTTTCCTTTGATCCTTGTGTGCACTTCATTTGGATTTATGTACACTTCAATAAGCAAATGGTTCACAGTTTTCATCTGAACTATGCAGATTAATTCTGGCAGTTATCCTAGAAGGCTGGCTAAGCATTAGCTTAATTCGCATCCTAATAAGAATAAGAATAATATATGTGCACACTGGTCCATGTTGCTAGCTTGCTTTTTGGAATAAATGTCTAAGCTTTAAAATAGGAGCAAATAGAAAATCCACATTCAGCCTTTTTGTCTGTCATTGAGATCTTGCTGACTAATAGGATGTTACATAACTCATTTCTCACATGGCTGAGTTAAATGTCCCAAGCAAGTCTATTTGTCTATGTGTGTTTTTCATGCATGCACATATTCCATCTAGCTTTTAATGAAAGGCATACCTAAGGGGAAAAGGAAGGGAGTGAAACCTGTAGAAAAATTATTATGGTTATGGGATGATTGAGAGCATGCAATTTTCATGAGAGAGGCCCACACTCTACATAGATCTTACAATGATGGTGCTGCTTAAAAAGGAATAATCTTACTTTGCAAAATGTCAGCTCGGTCCTTTCCTTTGGGGTATATTACTGCAATGAGAAGTCACACAAGGTTTGGTCATTATGTTACTTGGACACCTCTGCATAATGGCACACATTGCAGAAGTACTAGATGAGGAGACTGGATGCATCTCTGATGACAGAGACAAGATATCTTGGCTCCATGTTATCAAACCTGGGGTTGATCTCTGAAAACTTGTGATTTTTTAAATACTTTGCTTAGCGGGAAGGGCCAGTATAATATGTGAAAAACGCAGTCACCTGCACATTAATTTCACAGTGGACCTTATATTGAAGGCACTTAGCTAATGATAAAAGATATGCAAGAGATAATTATATCATTTAGATCAGAGCTAATCAAACTTTTCTACTCAGGGCCCCTCTTGTCACAAGATTTTTTTTACGTGATCCCTGGCATATAAAATAGGTATAAAACCCACCCATTTACTGATACAAATCAGCATTCGGAAGACTTGCTAAACAGGCCGATTTTCCTTTTCCTTTCTGTGAAGTACAGCCGAAGTCCACTGTAAAGTCTACACAACAGATTAGTGTAAATGTCTACAACAGTCACTAGGTGATGTCCAGAAACCCTTACCTTTGCCAATTTTTTCAGGACCTCAACATTGTGTTAAGGGAAGCCCACTTGTGGGTCAGGAACCACATCTTAAGAAGCAGCGCTAAAGACCACTTCTTCACAGTCTGATAAGGGGCAAACAGTTTTGTTCCTATCTGCCAAGAACTAGCACCATATTTGTGTGTATTGACTTCACCTGTTTGTTTATTTTGAGGAAAACAAGATTGTCACACAGGAGATGGAGCAGATCTAGATTTTGTTGCTCTAGGGCAGAATCAGATCACTGGATGTAAATTTTAGAGATTTTTTTTTAACAGAAACAACAGGAGAAACTCCCATTTCTATAATATAGACTGCCTTGAGAGCTACTCTGCAGTAGAGACTGGTTTAAAAAGCAACTGGTTCTCCTTTGCTTGGAATATTTAAATAGAAATGGGATAGGCATCTCTCATGGATGTGACAGTATTTTCCAGTGCATATTCTGCACTTAACATGCAGTTGGATGAGGTGACCTCCAAGCTCCCAACTAATATTTTACAATCACCATATCTTGTGTTAAGTTTCTGTGAAGTATATACAGCATATGTTACACATAACCTTTTAAACATTAATTTCTACAGTTTTGCACATGGAACCTTTGGGCTGTAACCTTTCCATTATCTCTCTCCCAGAGAACAATTACCTTCTCTTATGGTTTTGAATCAAAATAGGTAGCTGTCAAAACAATGAATATTATTTAACATTTAGAATTTGATGTGTGAGGTTGTGATCAATGCTCAACCACTACAGCCACTGAAGCAGATCATAGTAAATTTTGTCTGGATTGTGCTCAGTCAGATTGTAAATTTCTTTGGAAGTCCCCAGTGGAACCACAAAACTAAAGAATGATATTGATAAAATGTGTGCAGCTAGCTATGAACATTAGGAATCACTAAACCAATGTATGAGGACAGATGAAGAGAGAATTTAATTAACTATACAATAATTATCATCTCATCATTCTCTAACTATCAAGTATCTAATGGGAGATCCAAGATAATTTATGTTAATTCATAATTTGATATTTTACTAAAGCTTTTAATGAATTATTTTTTAGATTGGCCACTCATTTCATTTTAGGCTGGCTATGAAACGGAAGGATTAGAGCTGTGTCAAGAAGAGAGTTTTTTTCTTTTGTATATTTATTTATTTATTTGTCGTGTCAGAGCAACCAGTCCATTATATATTACATTTCTAACAGAACAAAGCAAACAGACAGAAAAATACACATTGTGAGTTTGGTAGTTGGTTAAATGCCCTTTGACCAGTATCTGGCCACTTGGAGTGCTTCTGGTGTTACTGCAAGAAGGTCCTCCATGTGCATGTGGCAGGGCTCAGGTTGCATTGCAGCAGGTGGTCAGTGGTTTGCTCCTCTCCACACTCGCATGTTGAGGATTCCACTTTGTAGCCCCATTTCTAAGGTTGGCTCTGCATCTCGTGGTGCCAGAGCGCAGTCTGTTCAGGCCTTCCAAGTCGCCCAGTCCTCTGTGTGCCCAGGGGGGAGTCTCTCATTTGGTATCAGCCATAGGTTGAGGTTCTGGGTTTGAGCCTGCCACTTTTGGACTCTCGCTTGCTGAGGTGTTCCAGCGAGTGTCTCTGTAGATCTTAGAAAACTATTTCTAGATTTAAGTCGTTGGCATGCTGGCTGATACCCAAACAGGGGATGAGCTGGAGATGTCTCTGCCTTGGTCCTTTCACTATTGGCTGCTACTTCCGGCGGATGTCAGGTGGTGCAATACTGGCTAAGCAGTGTAATTTCTCCAGTGGTGTAGGGCGCAGACACCCCGTGATAATGCGGCATGTCTCATTAAGAGCCACATCCACTGTTTTAGTGTGGTGAGATGTGTTCCACACTGGGCATGCATACTCATCAGCAGAGTAGCACAGCGAAGGGCAGATGTCTTCACTGTATCTGGTTGTGATCCCCAGGTTGTGCCAGTCAGCTTTCGTATGATATTGTTTCTAGCACCCACTTTTTGCTTGATGTTCAGGCAGTGCTTCTTGTAGGTAAGAGCACGGTCCAGAGTGACTCCCAGGTATTTGGGTGCGCTGCAATGCTCCAGTGGGATTCTTTTTTCTTAACAGTGGTCTATAGTGATCTGTAGGAATCCTTAAATTAACAAAGGACGTGCACAAGTAAGGTTTCACGGCTGTAGTGTCTTCCTCCATGAGTGGGATGAATGTCCCACTGACTTCAGTTTTGGCACATCTGTGCCGCCTAGGTTATTGAAACCACAGGTTGGCATTAGCCTTTAGAAGGCTAGATTTACAAGCTGAAAGTTTTATTTGAAGCATGAGGTTATGCTTATCATGATTATAATGTAGCGAAATGACTTGAAGCATCAAAACATCGAGGCGTCCCCTGGGCAGTGTCCTTGCAGATGGCCAATTCTTTCACACCAGAAGTTACTTGTAGTTTCTCAAGTAGCTCCTGATACACACAAAAACCCTGAAGCAAACAAAATCTTGTAGACTAGGAAAAAAACGAGAACTGAAAATAGGTGCTATAGCAGAGGTCCTCAAACTTTTTAAACAGAGAGAGGGCCAGGTCACACTCCCTCAAACTGTTGGAGGGCCGGATTATAATTTGTAAAAAAAAAAAAGGAACGAATTCCTATGCGCACTGCACATATCTTATTTGTAGTGCACAAAACACTTTAAAACAATACAATAATTAAAATGAAGAACCGTTTTAACAAATATAAACTTATTAGTATTTCAGTGGGAAGTGTGGGCCTGCTTTTGGCTGATGAAACAGGATTGTTGTTGTTGTGTGCTTTCAAGTTGTTTCAGACTTAGGTTGACCCTGAGTGAGGGCAGAGTAAATGACCTTGGAGGGCTGTATCCAGCCCCCGGGCCTTAGTTTGAGGATCCCTGTGCTAAAGAGTTCATGGGAAACACCTACCACATTAGATGAATAGAGAGCTTCCGAAACCGGTAAGAGCAAAAGCAGCAATAGGGAGGAGTTACTTTAAAAATACAGTTAATACTCTGTATTCGCCTCTTTTCAGGGAGGGCATGGGGTGGGAAGTGATTCAATAGCATAATTTTAATGTACTTACTAGTCAAACCAGAAGTTGCTGCGAAAGTTTAGAGAGTAATAAGGAGTAAATATACAGAGGTTTTACTATTAAAATACAAAAATAGAACTAAGTAAGTGGTAGTTCCTGGGGGAAATGACAGAAAAAAAAGGAGGAAGTGCCATGGCATTTGTTCATGTTCCCAACCTGTATGGGAATAGGGATGTTCCATGGCAACAACATTATTTAATTGTGCAATTGGGCTCCCCCCCCCCTCTATTTTTATATATTATTATTATATTATTCTTTTTCTTTAATCCCATTTATGGAGCAACAGGTGGAATAAATAAGATGGCGTTTCAAATGCAGAAAGCAAACACAGGAGTCACTCATACAACTGAAATTCTAATGTAGTAATGGTGCAAAAAAATATCCGGTTATTCTATTACTTCTCTGAGCAAGGAGAAATGGCCTGAATCAACCGATCAACACACCTCAGTGGCACTTTCCTCTGCCCTGCATTCAATAAGAACTTGGCCAGTGGACGTTTCTCTATCTCTCATTGGTAGCTTTACACAAGAAGGAAGATTCTCAAGTACAATGTTCATGCGACGATAGGAAGGCAGAGCAGAAGCCACTGACTTGGTATGAACTTTCTGTATTTTTATTAGTTTTGTCAAGCAGATAATTGAATCCAAAACTGATTCAATAAAAAGTCGAGAAGTGAACGCCACCCCCATCTGACACACAAAAATGCCACGGAGACAGCAGGTACCATTGGGATTATGGCAACATTTCAAAATAACTTTTTCTTTTTTTATGCAGCAATGTAAACTTCAAAAATAGTAAACTATAACATTTGCCATTTTCTTTGTACATTTCACATGGTCTATCACAGATAGAAATTTAATGGCAAACCTAAGTTGTAGAAGTAAACAGCTTGGTGCTTACAAGTTTTGTAAAAAGTGTTAGACAGATGGAAATCTCTTGTAAATGTCCTTTTAAAAAAAGGCTAACAGCAATGGAATAAAAGCAAGTGGCAATTCACCTCTTGGTCCTTGATATTCTTGCTATAGTACATATCATAAATTGTGTTCCTCTGTAAGTGGCTGCTAGCTTTTATTATGAATTTTTAAACAAGGATCTTAAAAAGAGGATGCGATTCTCCCCTCACTGACAGTAAGACAGTTCAGGAGGAGTTGAATCCACCTGAAAAGCCCATAGGAATGGGAAGCAAATCTCACTGTTGAAAAAGACCTTGTATTCTGCCCAAGTGTTCAGCACTCCCATTAATCTGTGGCTTAAAGCAGGCACTCATTGATTTCTTTGGGAGTTTCAAGAGCACTGTATCTGCAGAACACTCTCTTCACGTTGTAAGACCAACACAAGCAACTTGCAGTGTGACCTACTTCTACACAGACAGTGGACTAGAATTCTGTAAAAGGCACTATATATTTTCCCTTGCATGAGATTAAGCATGAATTGCAGTCATGCACAATTAAAGATTTGATGCACAATCCCCTGAGAACTTTCCCAGCACAAGCTCCATTGAGACGGATGGGAGGTGTACAGGAGAATCACTTGGACAGCTGCCATTCATGTCAATGGAGCTTTCACAAGAGAAATTCCTGGCTGATAGTGCCCTTGGTACCCTTGACTGCTTCCCCTCTCGTGCTTTAAGTGCAAAACTTAGCATTTTGTCCTTGCTTTTGCTCTGGCACCAAGTGCAGCTAGCTTAACTAATCTATTTCCCCCACCCCTCTCCTTTCTCCATTAATATCTTCTTTTGGTTTATTTGAAAACATTTATAATACAGCTCTGTTAAAAAATAAGCTTATAATAGCATAGCATCTCCCCCCCCTCTATTTTTTTATATATATTTATATTATATATATTTGTAAATCACAGTGTGCGATGTGTCATTCATGTACCTAATGTTCAAAATATATGCTCTGCTTCTCATGATGACTAATCATTAAAACTCATATATGCAAATATTATTCATTTATACATTACATTCATTTAAAAAGAGGGTTTTTTGCCTTTTCAAAGTGAAAGATTTGATGTGAAACAGTGCAAGCAATTTTGAACATGCTGAAACCCAGTGCTATGGGCTCAATTATTATTATTATCAAAACTGTACATCTATGTACACTATGTATTGAACATATGTGCTTTGCAAGAAAAGACCTGTGAATCATAGCATTCAATGTTAAAAGTTTCCTTTAAAAAAGATAACATTAATGTGAAAATGATGACATGGATGGACGTGTTCTCCTGCTTTTATTTTGTAATCCAGAAACAATGTCTCCATTTCCTTCTGGGATCTCTTCCTTCTTTCGAACTTTGAGGCGTGTGAGGAGCTTTATTAACCATTCATCCCACTCTTCTGGTAAAAGGAGCAGGAGGAAACCCAGGCCAATGATGACTATGGCAATCACACGGAAACTGTTGAAGTCAATGCCACTTGAGTAGTGATCCACAACTGTATGAAACATTAAACAGATATCATTAGTGGGAAGAAAGCCTATACTACAACACACAATATCTGACAGCGAAAGTCCCCAAGCAAAACTAATGAAATTGAAGACCACTAGTTATACTCAAGTCTGATCACAAGCTTGAATGGACAGCTGGTTCCGGGATGGCCAAAGGATTTTTGAACAGTTAATGCCTCATATTTCAACCCCCCTTTAGTTTCAGTAGTAATTTGCTTGCAGGGCAACATAGTGGAGAGAATGTTGCACATCTTAAGCCTGGCGAGTTATAGTCTAGTCAGTGTCCATTTGGATGCTTCAATTAAGTGGCAGCAATATTATTTCCAATGAGAACATGAGATTATAGTTTTAGTATACTATCAGTGTTGTCAAGATGTCTTAATCTATTATTAATATTTCAGTATACTATTAATTTTCTGCCTGGATTCTAAAACATTAAGGAGAGAAGCTCTTGAGAACACCATCCTAAAATTAGGATATGGTCCCTTATATCTTGTCTAGCTCAAAAACATGTATTTATTAGATCCATCTTACATTCATAAATAATTAAAGATGAGATTTTATTACTTAAAGCCTTTGCATAGAGCCCAATGTATGGAGAATTTTCCCTGTTCTCTTTGCATTTAAGCAAGCAGAAATTGCACAGAAGGTTCTGTAATGGGCTCATAGATAATGAGAAAATAATGTTTGAAATAAAAGCACTTTAAAATGCTGTTTTTTAAGCATGTGTATAGACCAATGGTTTAATATTATATAAACCAAGACAAACAAATTACTGTAATTATTATTATCACAAACCCTTTGTTGTTTAAAATACTATTAATCATCTGTAGGTATAATGTATCTCAATGTATACATTATTTGTATCTTAGTTTTAATATACACATACATGCCATTTAAATTCAAAAATAAAATAATTCCTACCAGCATTTACAGGTACACTTAGCACAATTCCAAGAGATATCAAAGTAGGATATGTAACTGCAATCCCAAAATTTAATAAAATATTGAATGCTGCAAAAAAGAAAAAAAAATGGAATTAGCACTGCTGTGAAACTAAACTGTTTTGTCATGCAGTATATTCAGTGTAAGCAAAGAAGTTTGCTATCTCTAAGAGCAAGATTAAAATGTTACTGGAAATTTTCATTGAGAGTCCATAAAAGAGAGCCAGCAAGACTTTTTTGAGGACTGGACTACAACTCAGGAAACCACACTTCAAATCTCCACTCAGCCATGGAAATCCAGCCTCAAAAGAAGGCAAAGATAGAAAAACAAACAAAAAGGAAAGCCCCCTGAACAAATTTTGCCTTAGGCTCACCATAAATCAGAAGTTATTTGAAAGCACATAATAACAAGCCTATAACTGACTACCAGTCATGATAGCCCCCAGTGACGCAATGGGTTAAACCTTTGTGCTGGCAGGACTGAAGCCCAACAGGTTGGAATTTTGAATCCGGGGAGAGTGCGGATGAGCTCCCTCTGTCAGCTCCAGCTTTTCATGCAGGGACATGAGAGAAGCCTCCCACAATGATGGTAAAACATCAAAACATCTGTGTGTCCCCTGGGCAACTTCCTTGCAGATGGCCAATTCTCTCACACCAGAAGTGACTTGCAGTTTCTCAAGTCGCTCCTGACACAAAAAAAGATAGCTATGTGTATATCTCTCCAAGGTTAACAGAACTTCTATACCTTTGAATCAGACCTTGGAAAAATTCCTTTTTGGATAATGATTCCTAGAATCTTCCAGCTAGTATGACCAGTGGCATTACCAAATGGACCTGTATTTTCAAAAAAGTAAATTGTTTAATCTGTTCGCTAGTCATGGGGAAAGAAATGTAGGCTGCCCTCATGTCCTGCCTTGAGGTTCCCCAGAGGTTCCCATATGGGAAGTTGGATGTAGGATTTCGATGTGATCTAGCATTTTTCTCCTTTTAGGGGAAAGTTTTATTATTGGTGAAAGGCATTAGAAATGTCCAGCATTTTAGTTGTTTGGGTTTAACCTAATATGGCACCTTTCTGGATGACAGACTTATATAAGTCACGGTCATCAATTGTCTTGCGTATATCTGCTTATGAGGAACATTTACTTACTCAATAATAGGACTGAAAATCCACAAATGCTTCCCCAAGGAATGGCATCGAAAGAGCTCCAGTATTCAACTTTGGTAAAGTAAAGGATGACAGGTATACAGGTAACAAAAAGGATGTTGAAGACAGCCAAGACTGACAAAAATAAGGCAGCTTCCCCATATTTAGCACTGCCAAGGAGCAGCTTAAACAAAACCTGTAAGAGAAAAATAAACATTTGAATCTGTTTAAAACATAAAGCACGACATTCCTAAAACAAGCTTATCCCATGTAATATATATTAATGGAAAAAGACTGTCAGTTTTGTGCCACAAAGCAGAGGCAAATTAGTCCTTTCTGAGTTCTGTAGGACAGGAAAATGGTCAAAGAAATCTTAACTTGCCTTAATCAGACCTTTCACTGTTTTCAAAATGTTCATAAGGAAAGAAATATTTTAGAGACAGAAATAAAAAAAATGTTATGCAAACAAATGGCAAACCTCATCTGGGTATAATAATGGACAAACTAGTACCATTCTGCATTATAATGCTATAATATTGGTTTTCAATGTTATAATAAAATGTTTTATGAACTATTTCATTTACAATCTTAATAAGCAAGCCAACTATTTAGGTTGTTTCATAATCCAGTAACTACTTCAATAGCTAATACAATCTCTCTAACTATGTGAGCTAGTAATCAAACAGGAATAGTTTTCAAACAGATCAAAGCATCTACCATGAAGTGTGAATGGACACAGCAAGTCAAACTTAAATACTCTCAATTCTAAATTTTAACTTTTCGACTGTTTCCAGTCTTCTACAATGATTTGCAATAATTTTTTTTTCATTTAAGGGCATCAGATCCTCTCTGATCTTGGAAGCTAAGCAGGGTCAGCCCTGGTTAGTAGTTGAAAAGGGGACTACCAACAAACACCAGGTACTGAAGGCTGTATTTCACAGGAAGGAACGGGCAAAACCACCTCTATTTCTTGTCTAAGAAAACCCTATGACTTGAGGGTACATAAATATTGAAGCCTTAAGTTGCTGCTAATATGCTTTCTGGGAAACATGGATTACACTTTTGCAGTTATTTTGATAGCAGCTCCCACTCAAGTTCATTTCATTTCAGTGAAACGCAAAAATTTAAGGGCTACAGACAAACTTAGTATCAACTAGAATTAATCAATTTAATGGATGTAATTTCTGTAAATGCTGACTTAACAAGTTTCCATTGATTCAGTGAGCCTTTTTTATTTGAAGAAGAAATTAAATTAAGAATCCTAGGCATATTTACTCTGAAGAAAATGTGGTTTTGATGGGATTGTTCTGAGTCAATGAGCTGGTGGCTTTTAGCTGCCATTGACATTTAACAAGGCTTGAGTTGTGATTACCCTTTCACATTGATTTTAATGCTGCCTAAATATAGCTCAGCACAGTTTGATGTGTTGTAAGATCAGAGTTTAACACAAGAATATTAACGCTTCTTTCAAAGCTTTTGGAAGTTTTCGCAGGGGGATCTACAGATGGCTCTCAAGTGGGCTAACACAGCTGTGGAAAAGAATTGCCTTCCAGTGAGGATGTTAAATTCATTTCACTTTGGTAGGTTTCTATAATGAAAATTTCTTCCTCTTTGGTGGGGAATGAAGCAATTACACCTTCCACCGAATAGCTGCTGACAGGGGCTAAAAACCTTTACTCAAAAGCACTCAAAAGCCCATTGCCTATTATAGACCCTAGATTGCAAATGCCAATCCTTGTCAACTTCACAGGGTTACTACAGGACACTATTAAGAGTGGAAATGGATTTACTAAAAGTTGATGGGAGGAACTGAAAATTGTTGTTGTGGCTGGATTATGCGTTTGCATAACTTAAGAGCTGGGAATCAGGTGGTTCTCCAGATACCGATGGTTTGCATATTCCAACAGCACTAGTCTCCATAAGTAGTGAGGAATGCAGTGAGCTACAGTCCAACATCTGGACCACTACATGATTTATACCAATAGCACTATATCTGGAAAGGCATTCAGTGCGGTAGGGGGTGGGGTGGGATGGGTTAGGAGGAGATGAGGCCATTGTTTCCTAAATGCCCTCCATATTTTAGCATTTCACTTCCATCTCCCCAGTACACCCCTGTAAGCACTCTTCTGACCTCTCCACCATTTACAATTGAGATTACATTGTTACAGTCGTTATGACATATTTTATTTTTTAAAACATTTGCATCCATAATAGCTTATTTACAAAGCAGAACTGTAAAAAGGAATAAAGACACACAAAGGAAAAGTTACCAACTAAAATGTGGGTATTGTGCTATACACTCTATTATAAACCATTTAAATGGTTAGCCATTTACATTGTATAGTGGCTTTAGTGTTGTACTAGGACTCCGTGACACAAGGGTTCAGATATCCAGTCTGCCATAGAAATCCGCTGGATGACCTTTGGTAAGTAACACTCAGCCTCAGCGAAAGGCCATCACATACCACCTCTGAACAAATCTGGCCAAGAAATCCCTGGTAGTAGAGCCATAAGTTCAAAACATGTTGCAGGCATATGACAGCAACCTTAGACTGATCCATTCAGTCTCTGATTTACTGATCTAGAACCTGCGTGAATTGTGAATCTATGCAGACTTCATTTTTGATCACAGCTTGGAAAAGTTACTGGTATGTGTTACTACAGTGGTTCTCAACCTGTGGGTCTCCAGGAGTTTTGGCCTACAACTCCCAGAAATCCCAGCCAGTTTGCCAGCGGTTCAGATTTCTGGGAGTTGAATGCCAAAACATCTAGGGACCCACAGGCTGAGAACCACTGTGTTACAGGTTTCAATTCTTTAGCCTGCATTGCTAGTGGTTGTGTTGGACAGAGGATTCTGGGATCTGTAGTCTGAAAAGTTTTTTTTTTTTACAATGATGAGGAACAACCAGTGCTTAGTAGAGCTGGCATTATATTGGTGTTTCATGGTGTTCACACCTATTCCTCCCTTAGTGTCACAATTGTCATGAAAAATAGTGCAAGACACTGACTAGCTGTGAATTATATGCCTCAATGTATTCTATTGAAACCATGCTGCTGAAACTATTCCTATTCAAATCATTTTATCTTAATCACAAAGACAGCTGTCTTTCACCACCCCCACTTTCACCTACAATGTTTTATATCATGTTGGAACCACCTCATCTAGTTCAATACACATCACAGGTATAATGGGTTGATGCCATCACAATGACTATTAGAGATACAGATAATATATTTTGGAGACTTTGTTTATTTAATGTGATGACAAAGCATTGAATGCCATCATGAAGAACCATCTGCTGCTCTCGTGTACTTTTCAGATGACTTCTTTTAGGTCATGAAAGGAATGCTTTGCAAAGCTACTCTTATGGAATATTAATGCACAAATCAGCCTCTTTTTTGTTTTGGCAAGAAGCATGTTTAGTACAGTTGACTGCTCTCAGAAAGGTTGCTGGTGTACTAGTGTACCTTTACACAGTCAATGTATAAAGGTAGAAAACTTTCTCCCGGTCTGTTTTATTTTAATTCTCCTGGCAAAGTTTTCATTTAATGCAGGGAAGAGGGAAAATGAGTCACAGACAAAAGAGGCAGATCTGCAGACAGAACCGGCCTTTATTAACATGTTCATTAGGAGGACTCAGTTTTGGATCAGAAGATTTCAGCACTGAATGTGAACTTCTCTTCCCTTGATGTCCACAAGCAAGCAGCAACAGAAAGACAGGGAATGGGAAAAGGTCAGAGGAAAGAGCCAGAGTCTATCAAACACAGAAGGACCTAGAGCTAAGGATTTAAGCTGCCAGCTAGTGGCAGACATTTCTTTTTCACTGAACACAGATGGAAACACCTGTGTGTACACTATATTTATGTCCTACCTTTTGCTGCAGACAAGAAACTGTGCTGAACAGGTTCTCAATAGTTATCAGTTCCTGCTATTAATTACTAGTGATTCCATATAGCTTTTGTATCCTGAACAAATACAGTTATTACATTCTTTGAGATACAAGTAAAGAGATCACAATGAATTGTATATACTTAGACCTACATGTTAGGGAGTCACAAAATGGGAAGAGAAACTTTTTTGATTGGAGTAGATTGCTTAGGTAGAATCCCTGTCTTTTTTTTCCTTTTTCCATTTTTAAGTGGTTTTATTACTTCTGGTTGAGAAACTCATAAAAATATGACTAAGGATTTTGTACAGAAGGTGCAAAATCCAGATGGAAACCGTAAAGGCTTACAAACTGCTGTGGTTTTGTGCCTTCAAGACATTATTGACTTCTGCCAACAGTAAAGCAAATATATCATGGGCTTTTCAGAGGTTATTTGCTGTTGCCTTCCTCAGAGGCTGAGAGAATGGTTTGTATAAGGTCACCCAGTAGTTTCTATGGCTTATTGAGGATTCGAATTCACTTCACTTCACTTTATTTCTTAATTAGTCGCTCTCCACCAAGGTGCTCTGAGCGACTTACAATCTGAAATAGCATTTACACAATATAAAAACATTCAACATAAAAACATTTGCATCTCCCAGTCCAACACTCAAACCAATATACCCCACTGGCACTCTAATACTAATTCTTAAAAAAAAAAAAACCCCACCACGACCTGGAAATAGTGGGGTTTATTTGAACAGCCATAGCAGCCTCCCTCATTCGTCATCTTCTCCTTTTCCCAAACAGAAGGAGTCAACAATGTAAAAACATCATAGAGAGAATGGCCACTCTAAAAGAGTTCAAGTCCCCAGGGCCAGATCAACTACACCAAGAGTATTGAAGGAACTAGCGGAAGTCATCTCGGAACCATTGGCAACCATCTTTGAGAGTTCCTGGAGAACAGGAGAAGTTCCAGCAGATTGGAGGAGGGCCAATGTGGTCCCAATCTTCAAGAAGGGAAAAAAGGATGACACAAACAACTCGTCTGGTCAGCCTCACGTTGATACCAGGCAAGATTCTGGAAAAGATTGTTAAGGAAGTGGTCTGCAAACACTTAGAAACAAATGCAGTCATTGCTAATAGTCAACACGGATTTATCAAAAACAAGTCATGCCAGACTAATCTGATCTCCTTTTTCGATAGAGTTACAACCTGGGTAAATGCGGGGAGGATGCCGTGGATGTAGTGTATCTGGATTTCAGTAAGGCTTTTGACAAGGTCCCCCATGACCTTCTGGCAAACAAACTAGTCCAATGTGGGCTAGGCAAAACTACGGTGAGGTGGACCTGTAATTGGTTAAATGCACGAACCCAGAGGGTGCTCACCAATGCTTCCTCTTCATCCTGGAAAGAAGTGACGAGCGGAGTGCCACAGGGTTCTGTCCTGGGCCCGGTCCCGTTCAACATCTTTATTAATGACTTGGATAAGGGGTTAGAGGGCATGATCATCAAGTTTGCAGATGACACCAAATTGGGAGGGAGAGCCAATACTCCAGAGGACAGGAGCAGGATTCAAAACGATCTTAACAGATTAGAGAGATGGGCCAAAACTAACAAAATGAAGTTCAGCAGTGACAAATGCAAGATACTCCACTTAGGCAGAAAAAAAAGAAATTTAAAGATACAGAATGGGGGACGCCTGGCTTGAGAGCAGTATGTGTGAAAAAGATCTTGGGAGTCCTCATGGACAAGTTAAACACGAGCCAACAATGTGATGCGGCGGCAAAAAAAGTCAATGGTGTTTTGGCCTGCATCAATAGGAGTATAGTGTCTAGATCTAGGGAAGTAATGCTACCCCTCTATTCTGCTTTGGTTAGACCACACCTGGAATATTGTGTCCAATTCTAGGCACCACAATTGAAGAGAGATACTGACAAGCTGAAAAGTGTCCAGAGGAGGGTGACTAAAATGATCAAGGGTCTGGAGAACAAGCCCTATGAGGAGCGGTACATTTAGCCTGAAGAAGAGAAGGCTGAGAGGAGACATGATAGGCATGTATAAATATGTGAGAGGAAGTCACAGAGAGCATGGAACAAGCTTGTTTTCTACTGCCCTGGAGACTAGGACACGGAACAATGGCTTCAAAGTACAAGAAAGGAGACTCCATCTGAACATTAGGAAGAATTGAGCCCCCGGTGGTGCAGTGGGTTAAACCCCTGTGCTGGCAGGACTGAAGACCAACAGGTTGCAGGTTTGAATCTGGGGAGAGGCAGATGAGCTCTCTCTATCAGCTCCAGCTCCTCATGCGGGGACATGAGAGAAGCCTCCTACAAGGATGATAAAACATCAAATCATCCGGGCGTCCCCTGGGCAACGTCCTTGTAGACGGCCAATTCTCTCACACCAGAAGCGACTTGCAGTTTCTCAGGTCATTCCTGACACGACAAAAAAAATTAGGAAGAACTTCCTGACTGTGAGAGCCGTTCAGCAGTGGAACTCTCTGCCCCAGAGTGTGGTGGAGGCTCCTTTTTTGGAAGCTTTTAAACAGAAGCAGGATGGCCATCTGTCGGGGATGCTTTGAATGCAATATTCTTGTTTCTTGGCAGGGGGTTGGACCGGATGGCCCATGAGGTCTCTTCCAACTCTATGATTCTATGAATAGTTAAGGAAATATTCTTCTGTCATATTTGTTTTCCTCCATATAAAATCCAGATTATCTACTTTGAACTGGATTATATGGCAGTGTGGACTGATATAATCCACTTCTAAGAAAATAAACAGGATTATTCGATGTTACAATCTGGATTATATGGCAGTGTAGATCCAGGCACAGATGAACAGCCAATGAAGATGTGCTACTCCATATTCCAGGATGCTTTCCATGCAGCTATAGCAAATATTTCCCAAAACTTGAAAACAGTGAACAGTGCTATCTCACAAATAAAATAGAGAATGATGTAAGATGCTTCTAGGCAACCTTTTTTACAAGTATCCTGCCTCATTTGTGGATTTTCCCAAGAAATCTAGGTGGTGATGCTTTCAATTTGTAATTACTCCATTTAACTGTCAACCTTTCTTCCATCTGGTTGTTGTTATTGCTGTTCGCCTTCAAGTTATTTGTAACTTATTGAGACCATAACATTACCCTATCACAATTTTTCTTGGCAAGATTTGTTCGGAGGGAATTTACCTTTGTCTTCCACTAAGACTAGGAGAATGTGACCTGCCCAAAGTCATCCAGTGAGTTTCCATGGTCAAATGGGGATTTAAACCCTGATTTCCCAAGTCATCGTCCAATACTGAAACCATTACACCATGCTGACTCTATGGTTTGCCACTCTTCTGGTTCCCCCTTCCCTTTCCTCATCTCTATCAAATGAAAAGCTAAAATAGCTACACAATGCTTTTGTTGGATAACACTAGGAGCCCTCCATCTGAAGTACCCAGAACACTGCAAGATGTGGCCCTCTATACTTCTGTCAGTACTTCTTCTTGCAGTAATTACTCTGGTGCCATTTGTAGTGTATTATAAAATGTGACAGCAAGTGTAATGGCATCTGTTATTGAACAGCAGTTTTATGTAAAACTTAGAGAAGATGTGGATGATTGGAAGAAGTGAAGACACTCTAGAGCTCATTGGGAGCACAAAAGGCTGGGGTGGCCCCTACAGACTCACAAAGCTTGATTGTACTTACTTTGTAGAGAGCTGACATTGAGGCAGATGCCACAACAAGTGCTATTCCAATAACTGAATGACTGTGGAAGCCATCAGCATAAGTCATCATGACTATCCCTGCAATAGCAAGTATAGCAGCCACAATCTGTTTGGATACAGGGAAACAATGTATTAGGGTTTTTTTAAAGATCGAAAGAAGTATTTAAAACACACTGTTATACAGAAGGCACAATTTAATTTCTATCTCTTTAAAGACTGCAATCTATAAATTGTTATATACTATAAAAGGTTACACTCTACAAAACAAAGCCAAACTAAAAATGGCTAGTGAACAACTGCATTCATCCTATTATGATAAGCCAATGTGTCATCTTTTAAAAGTACAATTTTCATACCATATATTCTTGGAAATTTTTGTGGCTATTAGCAGCATATTGATTTAAATACTGCAACTAGAAATGCATTAATTTTTTCCTTGAAATGATTTGGAATAGCCAAAGATTCAACTACTAGTGGTTAGGAAATGGGAATGAGTGTAATGAAGTCTCTGATAGTTGTTTTAACTATAACAGAATACGAATTACATTCTGGTGGGATGCAGGGGTTTAAACAAAACATCCCTCCCTGTACTAAACAATACTGTCCTGGCTGAACCAATGGCATAACTGACTAAAAGTCAACTTACTATGTCCTTATTTTGAAGAAAAACAGACAGATGACACATCTGCTACCTGCTTCACTGAATAAAAATAGTATAAATGACATGCCTAAACCGATAATCAACAAAAACATGTCAGATCTGAATAGGATTGTAAGGGTGCAGCTATACCGTAGATTTAATGCAATTTGGCACCACATCATGGCATGACATCATGCTATAGGACCAAGAGAGTTGTAATTTTACCAGATATTGTGGGGTTTTCTGCTTTGATATTCTAGGTTATATGGCTGTGTGGAAGAGCGCTCAGTCAGATTTAGCTATGTGTTGACAAGTAACAATTGACAATTCATTCAATGGATCAAGTGTGTTTGAGCAAAGCCTAGCGATGTTCCATGCTTTTAATGCGGAATGTATACTTTGAATATGAGCAAGAGCCTATGTCTGTGTTTCCTCAAATTGGTGCAATATATATTACCCCTGACTCAGGGAGAGCCTGAACTAAGGTTGTCTTTCAGAAGAAGGACGCTAATCCAGCTTTACAATGGCTGCTATAGCTTTCAATCAATCACAATTGGCACCATGATCCCAATAGACTTCAAGGAAACCTGGTTGCAAAAAGTGTAGCTTACAGCTAAAAAAAGGTCTTGTACTCAAACACTTTGCCTACTTAGGAAAACAATGTACCTTTTCTGCTTACATTCAGCACATATATGAGACAGTTCCTTGGGAGACAGCCTGAGCTATCATTGGTGCCTCTCACCTTAACTGTACGCTCAACATACTACAGAGCATCCCCATGAGATGTGATCTTAATATGCTGAGCAGCTTCTTTCTTCTGTAACCACAAACATTCAGTGTGCATTGATTTCTACATTCTAATGATATCCACTTTTTCTTAGGCGGGATTGTTTGAGAACTATGGATTTTCTGACAATTCAGTTTCTCTTGGTCTACACTGGAAAATAAGCAGAAATAAACTAGAGAGCGTAGACTCATAATCAGAATCTCTTTCCTAAACCATTTGCTGAACAGCAATGTTGAAAAAGGTTTACTTTGTTTGGTTCTCTGGAAAATAATTTTCTCATGGGACTAGCGATGTCAATTGTTCTACTAATCTACATTCTTTGAAAAGTTTATTGGAGTTACTTGTCAGAATATACTGAAAGACACAGACCAGAATCTATACAGACTTTTAGTTGGGATCTCTTGGGACTCAAATTTCCACCTTTCTTTTTCTAAGACTTTTGAGGTCAGGAAAAGAATGCATTTAAATAATAATAACTTGTCTGTGTGTGTAAAAATGGAAAATAGAGTTATGTGTATTTGTGGGAAATGTTATCATCTAACAATCATTAATACTGTTTGTGGTGACTTGAATCTTGACACAGTTGTTATGTATTACACTGCACTTTCCTCTCATGTAGCCAACTATTTTACAATACTGTACGAGCTGTCTATTTTTGCTTAGATTTAGTCCTTTTTCACTCTTGTTTTGCATCTTTCTCTCTTTTGTATATTGCTGCTGTGTCCTGTATTATTATCTGCTGCAGTTTTATTAGTTCTGATGTAAGCTACCATGAGTTCAACAATCATGATGGTTGAGAAAAGTGAAAGCATCTGTTTATTTATTGCATTTATATCCCACCCTTCTCACTCTGAAGGGGACTCAGGGTGGCTCACAACAAAGGCACAACATATAATTTAAAATCACATAATTAAAACATATCACTCAAAACAATTACTTAAAATCACACAGTCCAAAAACATATTCCCGGAGCCATTCCGATTGTCACTTACATTATTCATTATTGCACTCAGACATCATTGTTGTACCGGGAATTATTGTCCCACCATCATGTCTTTACTTTCTTCCTGAAGGTAAGTAGGGAGGGAGCTGATCTAATTTCCCTGGGAGGGAGTTCCATAGCTGAGGGGCTACCACCGAGAAGGCCCTGTCTCTCGTCCCCACCAGTTGCGCCTGTAAGAGGGGTGGGATCAAGTGTAGGGCCTCCCTGGACAATCTTAACCTCCAAGATGGTTCATAGGGGGCAAAACGTTTGGACAGGTAAGCTGCGCTGGAACTGTTTGCAATAAGCTTTCCTGACCCTCACCATACAGTAATGCACTCCCAAGATCACAGTAGTCAGAAATATTTCTTCTCCTGATCTCTTCCCTACAAACCCCAGCAACTAATTCTTGAGGATTCCCAGGCCTTCAGAGCAGGGACTTGGAGGATGAACTTAGGACTGGAGGCTGCATTTGGGACTGGAAATTGCTTCCTATCCCTATTCTATTGATACAAAACAGTTTCTCTAGGAGATATCCCACTGATTTGGATCAGTATCACATAATATCACTCAGAAAATAGACACTTACATTAATTAATTTTTAGAATAAAGAAATTGTAGCAATGTCTACAGGGATGGAGGAAAATGGGGCATGAGAGCCAAAATGTGGCCCAGAGACTTCCCCTACATGGCTAGAGAAGCCCCTCCTGCCTCCCAAAAAGCTCCCCACTTTTGGTATTATTTTTGAGAAACCTTCACACCCCAAAATCACATCACAACCTACCACTTCTAGCCTTTATCTCTACATACCTCCACACAGAGGTGGCCCTAGGTAATTTTCAAGGTAAGCAAACAGTATTTTGGTGCCCCCCCCCCCAACCAATCACTGATATATTTTCTGTTCGTCGTGGGAGTTCTGTGTGCCATATTTGGTATTCCATCACTGGTGGAGTTCAGAATGCTCTTTGATTGTAGGTGAACTATACATCCCAGTAACTACAACTTGCATATGTCAAGGTCTATTTTTCTCCCAAGAGCGTTTCAAGAGTACCCCTGGGCAAAATCAACTATACTGCAAATGCTTACTTCGCGTAATGGGTTGAGCCGCCCCTGCCTCTACAATTCCAAATACCCATTTATTTCACTGTTTCTTGACCCAACATCAGACTGAATGAAGGCTGGAAAAAATCCAAGATATGTTTTGCTGCAATCAGAAGCAGGTGCAGTTTACTGCAGTGTTGGCGAACATTGACCCCCTGATGCTAAACAGATTCCCATCTTTTTTTAATGGTAAGCTTCAATGACAATATTAGGAAATACATTAATTTGGAAACAAGCCTTCATATTCCTTAGAAATGACACAGAAAATACCACTTAAACTTAAATGCTGTGTATTATAACAATACCTTTCTATAGAGATGGAGTTGAAAATACTGAAATATGAGATGGGGAATAGTGACACTAGTTGATCTAAAGAGATAGTGAATCACTTACCCTCACTCCCATGAATCTGTCCCTGAGAACAATCCATGAAAGCAAGAACACAAAAGCTTTGTTGCAGCAGAACAACACGGAGACATCCGTAGTGTTTATTTTTTTTATTGCATGTAAGTACAGGTAGTTTGTGAGTATCCAAAGTACACCGAATGGTGCTGCCTTGGTAAAAAATGCCTTCAATGTCAAGCCATTGTCTCCAAAAAAACGGCAACATTCCCTAAACCAAAAAGAAAAGAAAGGATGTCAGACACTGTAGGAATCATAATAATAAAAGAGTCCTGAAAGATAATCACATTTATTATCATCTACACAGCTACTCCAATGTGGAACCTAACCAAAATGTAATCGGTATTGCTTTACACATCTAAAAAGTAATATTATGTTAATTTGTAAGATTGCAGCACTAGAACCAGTACTGAAAAATAAAACATTGTAGCAATCTAATAAAGCTACCAAATCTCTTCCAATTCCTTCAAAACCCCAATAAAGTACCAGCTTCATAGTAAACATATTAGAAATACATTGCAAAGTATCTGGAAGAAGTAATTCATGTGGACTTAGTTCTGCTTTGTTCTGTAAATGCAACAACAGCTAATAGGTGAGATGAGGTTTCAAGAATGCAGGAACAAACAGTTCAGATGCTGAAGAAAAAATTACATCATTGTCACTGAACTGAATAAGTGCCAGATTTATCAAATATCCTCTTTTCGAATGTCCTGGTTATTGTTGCTTAGAATCTTGGCGATACAAGCCAAATTTTGTTAAGTGTATAGAAATGAACATGTCACAAAAGTACACATTAGATAATACTTAGGCAGCAGCTCACTAAAGGGAATTATATTCTACAATTATCTGAGAATATCTTTACACTGAGTTTATGGCTGCGTTAATTGGAAATATCATTATGCATAAATTGCTTTAAATGATATAGTGGTGTCCCTAGGAGAAAACAAAGGTATACCCCAAAGTTATCAACACATGGATTCCTCTTGTCATTTGCCTATTTATTTAAAAAATCCATTAATAGCTTGATTTTTAAATATCCTCCTGTGACAAACAGACTTCTTTCATTAGAAGCATCTATTCTAAATTTATTGTCCAATTTGATTATTCTGGATGACTTCATGCTCCATTATCACAGGATGTCTACGCCCTACACCACTGGTGAAATTATACTGTTTAGCTGGTATTGCACCACCTGACATCTGCCGGGAAGTAGCAGCCAATATTGAAAGGACCAAGGCAGTGACATCTCTGGGCTCCGGCCCATCCTCTGTTCAGATATCAACCAGCATGCCAATGCCTTAAAACAAGAAACAGCTTTCTAAGATCTACAGAGATATTCACAGGAACATCTCAGCAAGCGAGAGTCCAAAAGTGGCAGGATACAACCTGGACCTGAATGAGAGACTCCCTCCTGGGCACACAGAAGACTGGTCGATTTGGAAAGTGCTGAACAGACTGCACTCTGGCACCATGAGATGCAGAGCCAACCTTAAGAAATGGGGTCACAAAGTAGAGTCCACAATATGTGAGTGTGGAGAAGAGCGAACCACAGACCACCTGTTACAATGCAGTCTGAGCCCTGTCACATGCACAATGGAGGACCTTCTTATAGCAACACCAGAGGCACTCCAAGTGGCCAGCTACTGGACAAAGGACATTTAGTATAATGCCAAGTTTTTTAAACTTTGTGTTTTTCAAAAACATTACAACTGTACCCTTGGTTCGCTTATGATATGATAAATAAACAAATATTATTCTGGATTTGTAAAACAGATAATGTTGGTTCATACTCATTTGGAGACTGCCTGTTCTGTGACAACCTTTCAATACCACTGGGGAAAAAACACAAGAATACGAGCACTTCTGTGTTCCTCAAAACTGAATGAAATTTGGGACGGGATGGGATGGAGGGAGGCCTCTTATGATAGAATTTACCTCCCCAAATTTCAGATAAATTGTCCTATAGAATAAATATTTTAATTTTTAAATGATTGAACCTATAGGATACCTACTCAGCCAATCCAAAACTAAGAAAACACAAAGCAGCACTATGATTACAGGATGTGTTTTGGGAGTGAGTGGGAACTCTTTTTAAAAGAAAGATGCAAAGCTCATTCAAATTCCTGAGTACTTTAGAAATCGATTCAGCCTTTTTAAAATAACAAGTCATTTTGGCATTAAAGTATTACATTTAAGAATGGACAAATGGTTAAAAATCAATATATTTCAGAAAATCCAAGAGGGTAAGTAGTTCTTTAAATGTGTTGTGGGACCTGAAAGACCAAGACATTGCATCTTACAAAATGTGTTACTTAAAATGGCAAATAAAATGTGTTACTTAAAAACAGACACAATGTTTATTATTCCATGGCATTTGGATTTCTTCCCCTCCCATACCACCCGCAGATCTCAACAATACTTTCAGAAAACCAGATCTAAATGGTTCCCAAGACATCAGATGTACAAAAACCAAACATTTACTGGTAACAAATCAGCATTTGCAAAGCTTGCTAAACAGGCTGATTTCCCTTTTTATGAAATACAGCATGAACTTTTTTTGAAGAGCATCGGTTTTGCTTAGAAATTTTCAAAGAAGGTTTTAGATCCATTCTCATTTGGTAATGGATGAAGAAAGCAAGAATAGAAGCATGCTGGCTGGTATCAGAATAATAATATTAATGTCAGAAATCGAACAAAGATCACTTCATTGAAATGGGTTCAAAAGAATGGCAGAAACATTTGTTTTATACAGTATCTTGCATTTATAGCTGCTTAATTTCTTGCATGAAGAAGACATCCCAAGGTGCTCATATTGCAAAACACATGTCAGATAACATCTGTGATGATGTGCTTTATGGTATCAAGAGACATATGTATTCCTGTACTCAAAACAACCTCTTTGGTAAAATGTATGAAACAATTTAAACTTTGCAAACTGGTACCAAATGTACATGTACAAATGTGCAAGAAACTGCTTCCAACATAACAGGAGCTTCTCTGCCCCAGAATCTTTTCACATTACACAGTCATTTGAGTTTTGTTTTTTTTTACTATAAGCACATTCCCTTTTGTAAGATGCAGTACCCTGGCTAATGCTGGAGAAAAGAGAAAATGATGATTTGTATCTGAAGAGCAAAACAAAATAAAATAAAAATCAGTGACTCCAGAATGCCAGTGACTTTACAAGGTGGTCAATAGAAAGATATCAAAGAAAACCAATGGGGGAAAGAACAGAAAATGGCAAAGGCTTCCTTGTTCAAACAGTCCTGAAAAAAATACTGCAGTGTAGGCAAGATGCCAACATCAGAGTAATAAGGCACACCAGCAGTCCCAATCAAACAACAGAGCATTGAAGTCAAAGCTTGGCACATTAATTTTTTATTATAACTCCCAGAATCCTCTCTCCAGCATTTGCTGATGGCTATGTTGCCTAGGGGACTCTGGGAGTTATAGTTTAAAAAAAAAAACATTTCCAGACCTATACTCAAGTAAACAGCTGACCAATCATTCTTCTTGTGAAGACTGACATCCCTTTAGAAAAATTCATGCTTAATCTAGTTGCTCCAAAGCTGAACTAGCAAATTTCTTTATCCCCCTGACTTACTCCCTTCCTCTCTAAATAGTCCCAGCTAGATTGATAATAACAAAATCCTGGGAGGGTGAAAGAGAGCTATCAAAGAGAGATTGGAGAGAAAAGTTATTAGAATATACATAAATCGCCAAGCTGTCCAGTGCACCTTGAAGTAAAAATAATAGAGTTTGTAAACAAATGGAGGCTGGTTTTTGTATATTTTGAAAGGAAGGCAAAATTGGATCTTAGGAAGCTGCAAGGAGAATAATTTAAGTAATCTACAATGGTAAGTATTATAGGGTAGAAGTAGTAACAGATGACAGATGACCTTCCAGCCTCTGTTTAAAAGCCTCGAAGGAAGGAGCTTTCAGCACATTCAAAGCCAGAGAGTTCCACTGCTGAACAGCTCTTAGTCAGGAAGTTCTTTCTAATGTTCAAGTGCAATCTCCTTTCTTGTAATTTGAAGCCAGTGCTCCAAGTCTGAGTTTCCAGGGCAGCAAAAAACGTCTCTCCTCAACCTTCACTTCTGCAGGCTAAACACACACAGCTCTCATAGGACATAATATTCATATCTTTGATCATTTTAGTTGCCCTCCTCTTGACACATTCGAGCTTGTCAATATCCCTCTCGAATTGTGATGCCCAGAACGACACAGTGTTATTCCAGCTGAGATCTGACCAAAGCAGATGAGTTCCCTTGATCTAGGCACTATAATCCTTTTGATGCATCCCAAAAGATGAGGCTCGCGGGTCAGGAAGCATTCAACTAGCTACTGATGGCAAGAATATGTAGAATCGTATCTAATGATACAACTTATCTCAAGTCATAAGGATTTTCAGCTACTATGCACAGAGATGAAGAAAAAGGCTGAAGATGTACAACATTTCTAGTAGGAAGAGAGAATGCAAGAAACATGAATTAGATAAAGCTAGATATTGTAAAGTAAGAAATGGAACATATAAATATTGCAATACTTGGGCTATGCAAGCCAAAGTAGACATGAATGGGACATTTTAGTCTGATAACTAAACAGTGTTTTTACTTAAGAAATAAGAAATGAGATGGCATTAATTCTGAAATAAGATGTAGGAAATCAAGGGAAATAATGCAAAGTCTCACTGAGAAACATCAATAAGACTTCAGAGAAAATCAGGCAACACACTAGATGATCAATACAAAAACACAGAAGCAACACACTGAATAATTATATAACACAGAAGAAAGGATAACACATTCACTTCAAGGAAGAATCTCAATTCCATAAAGTGGAATCTCCTTTCAAAGCACTTTGAAGAAATAAAGCATCAGGAACAGATGGCATACCAATAAAGCAGTTTCAAGTTATACAGACAAGGCCTATCCAAATTCTAAAACAAAACAATGGCCAACACACTGGATATGCTCCATATAGACTCAACTCCCAACATCCTGAATCAATTCTCCCAAACTCTGCCAGTAGTTACAGTTGGTCATGTTGCGTTTGTGTACCAGGTTTGGTCCAGATCCACAGTAAGTGGAGTTCACAGGATTCTGTGCCAGATGTGACTGATGTGGGTGAACTGCAACTTCCATAATCCTGAGTCCATCAACACATCCCCCAACCYCCCCCCCCCCCCCAAAAGGAGAAACCTCCGGTATT